GGCCTCCTCCTGCCACTCGACCAACTGCCAACTCCCCACATTCGGCCGACTGCCGACTGGTTTGTTTAGAATTTTAGATTTTAGCGCGTTTTAGAATTTTATGAATGAATTTTTGGCGCTCGGCAGAGCTCCGCCTGCTGGAAAACACTCCCTTTTCCCACGCCCATTTCAAATAGCCAGACCCATCCAATGCGTTTGGCTCGATTCACTTTTAGTTTTTGGTTAGTTTTCGGTTCCCCATTTGTTTTGGGGGCTGTCGGTGTGACCTTGCCGGGGTGTTCCGGTGTTGTTTAGATTTAGTTTCCATTGGACTGCACTTTAGATGGTCCCTTTTTGCAGTTGGCACAAATCTGTGCATATACACGTGTGGGGCCCTTAGAAAAAAAATTTGACCTGTGTCATTTTTTCTTCCATAAAGGTGTTGATTTTATAGCAGTTGTAGGAGTTTTGCAAAAGAATGAAAGCAGTCACAATGACTAAAATAGTTAGGCAATGAAAAGGATTTCTCATTAAATTAATGATATCAAGACAGTGGGTGAAAGAAAATTAAATTAATTACGGGAAGACATTAATGATGTCATTCCTTACTCATTCTTATCCTTATTCATAGAGTTGGAAATTACAATTGAAATCCGCAAATACTACAACCAAAAACTAGTTATTTATTTTAAATATTGTCCCCACTTTTAAAAGTCAAGTTCCTATTTTGCGAGAGTTCATAAACTATAAGCTTGCAAAAAACTAATTTGCTAAAAACTACGGATATGACGTTGCAGAATATACATTTGTGTTCTCTTAAAAATCTGAAAAAGTATTCTTATCTTTGTCTTTTTCATGCAGTTATACCGCAATATGTAAATATGACCATAAGGAAAGGTTGAGATGCATACCCCACAAGTTTCTTAAGAAAAATAAATCAATTTTTGAATTTAATTGCTTGTATATATGTACATATTTTCTGAATTGCATGTATATGTGTGCATATAAATCCTCCTAAAATGCAACATAACTCATACCCATCAACAGCTCGAATCAAACAAAATGATTTGTAGACCGCCCTTTAAGCTAAACAAAGAGTGTTTATTATGCACATCTATGTAAATCATATAAATACATAAGAGCACTTATATAAATTCTTATATACTGACAGTACTTTAATAGGTTTTGTTAGATTTGATGCAAGCAAAAATGCCTATTAAAATGCGTTTGAAAAAAACTGTTGCATACCTGACGGCGCGCGCTCAAATTAACTAACGGGACATTGAAAATTGCAACAAGAGAGATGAGCGAGAGAGTGACGAACGCGAGAGAGCACAGCATCCTAGTGCAAGAGACGGAAACCCGAACCACTACGAAGTTTTACGAAGTGCAATGTGTAGTGACGAAGGACGGGTAGCAAGAGGGACTCGGCACTAAATGTAAGGAAGTAATGGGTGAGGGGAACGTGGAGAGAGAGCATGCGGTACTAAGCCGGCGAGAGAACAAACACAAAAGCGAAAGCGAGGAGCCGGCATAGGTGCTCCTGTATGTGAGCTCGAGAGAAAGAAGGAGTGATATTCATGTGTGTGTGTGTGTCCGCACATATATCCGTATAGATGTGTGTGCGTGTGTCGCTTTGTCGGCAATTTAAAGAGTAAATAATTGTCTGCCGCCGGCAAACATTTGGCCAAACTGCTAGTCCACAGACTGTGCCACTGTATTGGTATTTGCTACATTCGGCATATGTATTGGTGCCGAGTATCGGCTCTTCGTCACCAAACTCTACACAATTTTAGGCGCCGGACGAACGCACTTTCAATCAGTTAACTTTATAACGTCAGTGCCGACACTACGTCATCCGGTCGAATCGTTTCGAGTCGAATCGAATCTGGCGTTACGCCCCCAACACAGCACACAAATTTTGCACTTGTTTTCGTTGCCGCGCGGCGATTTTTGTCGCGTTTTTACTTTCACGCGACCAATTCACTGAACGTCAACAATTCCCGTGAAAACGTGTCTGCTTAGTGTTCTGCAACCTGTATTAAGCATGGTTTTATCGTGCTTTTCCCCAAAGAGCAGACAAATGTGAATAAAAGGCTGAGCATTTGAAAACCTGTGAGTACTAAGCACTTTTGGGTACATGTACATGCAAATCACTCAAGGGAACTTAATCGAGCAATTAATCCCTTTGTGAGGCGCATAAAAGTATGCTACACTTGCTTTAATTCCCGACGTTTGTTTGCATTTAAATATTTGTGGCTATTTTTGATCAGTGTCAACCATTTGGTAATATAAATGATTTATTTTATTATATACGATTGTACTAAATATTATGGAGAATAATGTTTGATTTAAATTAAAGTACATTTTTAAATTTTGTTATCAATTCAAAGCTATTTACACAAATAAGATTTCTAAAAAATAATTATTTTAAATGTGTTCAATTTTTCTATAGAAATATGTCAGCTCCAGAATGCATATTTGTGATTTAATACATTTTTTTGTAAGCTTAAAATGTAACTCGTCAATTAAAAACAAATTGTATGTTTTTAACATAACGCTTAAATCTTTTCCAATTTAAAAAGAAGGATATCCGTTAAAAATCTTCGAGAGTTTGCGAGATAATGCTATAATCTTATTAATCATAGGATTAGTCTTCAAGCCTTTAAGCATTCTAAAAAAATGCTTTTATTTGCAAAATATAGAATGCTAAATTATTGTATAATAAATATTAAAAAAATCAAGAATAATGTCAAGATAAAATATAGAAAACTAAAAGTGTTTCTTACATTCCTAAATGGGTATTTACCATAAATGTACTTCTTAAATCAGACAACACACTTTCAGCAGAATGCCGGCCACTTAATTCGCACACAATCGGGCAATAAATCAGCATTTAATGTGCCTGCATCGAAATGCGGACTCAGCGGACATAACGTCATCGACATCATGTGACCGCGTTTCCGAATTTCCCCGAAACTTGTGTACGTGCGTTGTGTGTCGGTCCCGAAATACAAAATACGGAATACAGAATGCACAGACGACGGGTCATGGCCACGGCCACGGCCACGGCCACGAATATGCCATTTCGGCGACTCCGGCTGCGGATGAGGCTCCGGCAGCAAACTCCGGCTCTGCCGTGCGTCGCAGTTTCACTTTCACGGCGCACACACAGCTGCGGAGATCCGTGGGAGTAATGGGCGTTGCGGGCGCGACTTGCACTCAGCCTCACAGTTCGTCTTGCCCAAATCGGCGGGAGCACGGCCACGGATACGGACACGGACACGGTTGCGGCCCACCAACCCAAAACCATTCGTGCTAGTGACATTGTCGACCCGGTCGCACAGTGGGCACAAATTCATTTTTATTGGCTGCAGAGCAACTACTTATTTAGTTCTGAACTCGAATTTTGTATGCTAAATTTAATTATCGCAAAAAATGTGTGTGTAACAATATCTATAAATTGATAAAAGAAACACATCCAGAATCTACCAAAAAAAAACAATATTCATAAAAAACTTAATGCTAATGCTTAATGCTAATTCGAATATTTTGTTAATCATCACCAACAGTCTAGTCGATTTTATTAAGTATACGCACTGGGCAGCCGCCACAAAGTAGGCAATGCTTTTTAAGAACCGAACAAATTATTATTATTTAAAGATTTATTTTATCTACTTATTTTACACTTTTTTATTACTTTTAATTTTTAGTTTAAAATTAATACAACCGTGAAATGCAATTTCAAAAAAATGCCTCTACAATTGTAACTAGACTTCAGTGCCGTTGTCTGCCACTTGTAACACATTTTGCATTTGGCAAGGACTTGGGACGTGCCTGATTGAAGAAGGCTGAATCTGTTGTGATGGCAGTGGAGGGCGGAACGGAAATGGGAATGAGATTGTTGACGGGTTGACGTTGACCGGCAGAATACGACAGAATGCGCCGACTTCCTGCATTCTCGTTTCTGCCAGCACCCCGCTGCCATAACAACCACGACGACGATGACGATGGTGATGCAATGCCAGAAAGCCGCCGAAGTGCCGACGCACACACAGCACACCATCACTATATTACACCCTCACATGCGCATGGCAGAGTTGCACTTGCCGAACACCTCCACATCCATCTCCCTTTGAAACCCCATGAAACACCATGATCCCCCACACCCACCATACCCACCCCCAACCACCTCTTTCCGCCGACACTCTCACTCTCCGGTTCAGGAGTGTGTGAGTCCTCGGTGTTTACTCGCCGCCGCCGATTGCAGCACTGCCAAGTACACTGCCAAAAATCACTTTAATATCACTGATACATTCTGGTTTACAAGAGACAGCCTTTTTTTTTTTAATTATTTATTTGCGCCGGAATCGTTCAATGCCATTTGAACATAACCGTACGTATGAGGACATATATACATATATAGTATATATTATACTATTTAAACTAAATACAATTTATTACAATTATTTACAAAACTTACAAAATTTTTTTTGGATTACTGGATGACCCGGGAAGCGAGGTCACTGGGGTGAAATCTCTTCAGCCTTCGAAGAGGTTGCGGACAAGAGCCAAAATAAACTATATGTATTTTATGAAATCCGAGGGGATTTCGAAAGATTAAGATAAAATAACAATAATGAATTAATTTAAACTAGATGTGTTTTAAAAATAGTAAGTAAGTAAGTATTGTAAAATTTAATTTTTGTTCAAACATTTTTAATGTGGTAAAGTATTTTTTAGAATCTGAAGAAATAGTACTTATTCCTTAAAAAACCGTGATTGCATTAAATCTATAAAATTGAGTTCTCATATACTAAATATCCTTACATTTTTTTTGTAGAGATGGAAAAATTAACTTAGGCTTGAGTATTAGTTCTAAGCCCACATTTAACTTTCAAAGTTAAAAACACTGTAGTCTAAACTTGATTAAAATTATGGGAAACCATTTCGAAAACATATTGTACCAATTTGAACTTGAGACCCACTTATATTTTGGCTCCGTGTAGGATTGAGTGCAGTTACCTCTGCTCCTGGAGATGGGAGTGGGTGGGGATTGGGTGTCTGGGGAAGCTGGCCTTCTGATGTGGTAGGCCGTTTGCCGGGAGCAACGCTACGTCATCGCCATCGCCATCGTCATCGCCACCGTGCCGGAATTCGTGTGCGTGGCCTGATTTCGTCGATTGGCCTTGTGCGGGTTTCAGTGTCAGGAGCGCAGCATCTTTGTTTTGGTTGCAATGGTTGTTGTTGCTGCCGTTGCTGCTCGACTTGGCCTGCATATATGCAAATCAAGCACACACACGAAGTGCAGTCCTCGGAATGGGCTGTCCTGTATGCGGGAGCAGACCCCTTTTGTCTGGAGGATTGTAAAGTGGGCATTTTGTGCACCCCTCATGTGTTAGATGGGCAAGTAAACAGATTTCAAAACTAGGTTGTAAGGGCTTCAAGATGAGGCGCTTTAATTTTTTTTACTTTCAGCTACATTGTGATGTATTTATTGATTTAAGGATAAATAATATTAATAATAATGGAGCACAGAGTTGTCCGTTTAAATGAAATTTATTCAGCCTGTTTAATATTGCGTATACGCAATGTTAGACAAAATTCCGTTTAAATATATTAAATGTATACCCTATGCACTTTTTACATATTATTATTGATAGAAAAAATTCAAAAGATAATTTTATAAAATAATGCTCAGTATTTTAATGTGCACCAACTAGACGTATACGTAATATATCTAGCAAATACTATTTTATTTTTCCAAAAATTGAATTGAAAATATTTAACATTCAGTTTGGACAGGTTTTAAACGAATAAAACGTAATTTAGTATGTTTCAGACAGCTCCTAATTGCATTAGTAACGGTATTAATATACATTATGCCAGACAGTTACATTTAATGATCTGTTTAGTGCCGCGATGAATATTAACTTGTTAGCACTGTGTGTTTTACTTGTTGGAGCAGTTTTAGGACGAAAACAGTTAGGTGACTTCCTAAATCCCTCACAAAATAAAGTAAACAGCTTAGCTAACTTAGATATCCTCAGATAATCATTACCAAGTTGTGGGCGTAGACTGTAAGGAAAATGAGGCAGTCAGCTGCCTGATGATTGAATGTCCGACTGGCAAATTTTGCCCGGCAGAGAACTTTTGCTACAACCCCAAATGCGTTTGCCGCAAAGGATTTCGGCGTGTTGGTGGTGTCTGTGTGCCAAAACACAATTCTCTGCATCTGAACAAAGCCACGCTGGAGTCGGCTCTGCTGGAAATTCCCTACCATGAGTTTCTCTTTTGAGAGTTCCGATTGACTTATTTAATGGGTAAATTAAAAGTTTTGATTTTTAATTGAAAATGGATGGAATAACAGAAATAACTTAAACTAAAATAAAAACTTTTATATTCCTTAAAGCTAGTTTAAAATTACTTATTTATTTTATCTTATTATTCATACTCCGAATTTTAAATGCTATGTTAAGTTTTAACTTTAAGTTAAATTTATTTTTCACAATATGTGATTCTTTATATCATGTTAGAGTTTATCTGACTCATAACTTCTATCTGGATTCAATGTTCTGGCTAAAATTTGTTGATGGAAGTTGCGAAACCAACATAAAAAGGTTTTTTCTTATCTTTTTAAGGTTTGACAGTCCTAATTACTAGTTAACTCCTAGGACACTGTATTTAAAAAAAATGAACATCACATTGAGAAAACGAAATTGTATCTTCGAACAATTTGATTTCACGTGATTTTTCTCTGAAAGATAACAAACTCAAACCTTAACATGAAATTGAGAAATCGGCCGAACATGAATAGAAAACCGTTTATTTTCTAAACGATATTTTGATAAAGTCTGACAGAGATATTGATAAGCTTTTATCTGTGTAAGTCAAGGCAAAAATATGTTTTGCCAATCGCTTTTCAGAACGGATAATAAAGTGTGTTTTTTATTCATCCTCCTCGAGAGAGCGTCAATTGTTGGCTCTCGCTGTTTAAACTCGCTTCGTTCTCTCCCGCACACAAGCGTAGTTAGACCAACTAATGGCAAATGGTGAGGAGGGGGGGAGGGGGTCTATTTTGGCCATGCCGGCTGCAAAAAGCCAAAAGCCGAGAGCCGAGGCATTGTGTCTCGTGGCGGAGAGAAAAGTCGGAGTGGCATATCGATGGGTCGGCATAGTCAGTAGTGAAGCTACGCCACACGCCGCCAGGTGGCACCGATTGTGGATGCGGCGGGTGTTATTCGCATGTGCATGTGCATGTGCACCTCAGACAGTGAACGGTACGAAAGGCCGCCGAGAAACACCCCGTGAAACCCCCGAAATCCCCACCGGAATCCCACACAATACATACTTTTTTTGGTTTTTTTTCCCCGTACTTTTCGCCGCGGAGGAGGTGACCTCCAGAATGGGCTGGCAATGCAATTGGCTGCACTTTTCCTTTGTGAACCCGCCTTGCGTTTTATTGTGTCACGGGTTCGCGCGCAGATGGGAAAAATAAACGACCATCGTGGTTTCCCCAAGTGAAAGTCTGTTTATCTGCCGGCGAAATTGAAAACTACATATTCTATTGACGCGACGAGAAAAATGAAATATGTGTGCACAATTAGAAGCGAAACTAATTTGCGTGCTTAGTGAAAATCGATATGGCGCAGTTGACTTTGACTTTTGGCACTTGGCGAGTCGGTTTAGAATGTCTCACACGGCGTATACGTTATATTTTCGTGTAAATTTACTTCTTTGCTTGTCTTAAATTCAATTTGTGATTGGTGAAAAATCCACGAACTGGGGGTTTAGGTCAGCCCTAACCTTATCTTAATGTACCGACACACTAAACGCCATATAGAGTGGGTCGTCATCGCAGAAACATGTCCCCCCTAAAAAATTTACCCCTCGATATTTATTGCTCCTACCTCTCTGCCTCCCTCTTTCTTTCTCTCTCGCTCTCGTTCTGGCACAGCGCGCAGGATTCGCGCTCTTTTTTATCGTCACCTTCACAATTGCAAAGTGGGCGGTGGGTGGCTGTTTAGACAAATGCGCGTGACTGTGTGTGTGTGTGTCCTGCGATTCGGCAAGTCAGCTAAAATAACAACAACTGCAGCGATGTTTTCACTTTCCATTCGAAAGTTTTTAGTTGGTCTATTTTGGGGGAATCCTCGGAATTTTGATTTTATTTATGGTTTTTTGGTGGCTAAACACAGATCTGGAAAATATATACCTTGATGGTGTTTTTCTTTGATGTATCTTTTGCACTAACTTGATCTTATTTGTTTTTTGTAAACGAGTCCAGTTTTTTATCCAATTATTCCAATAAATGAGCATTTTTAAAAAGCATTTAAAAATTTAGTTGTTATACCTTGGCAAATAAAGTTCATTAATTAAAAGCTATGAAAGATGCTGGAAAATAACAAATACAGCTTTGTAATTAGTTACTGATATCCATTTAAGTAGGACAAGAAGGATTCAATTTCTTTCAGAATAGGTTAATAATTTTCTTGTGCCAAAGACCAATAATTACCACATTATTGCTAAGTTTTTTAGGTAAACAATTCTGTCTTGGGTACAAACAAAAATTGTTATATTTAAAACTATTTAAGCATCAAACACACCTATTAAGCAATCTTTTATTAAAGTGCCTACCACTGAAACTTTGATCCCAATCAAACTTCTTCCTAACTTCTTTCTTTAAATAATCTTTAATTTCAGAAGCCTGACTTTCAACGCACAAGATCCCATAAAATCTCCCAGGATTCCCCGTCTATCCGAGAATCGAACGCACAATGAACTTTAATCCGTTTGGCAACACCTTCCCCGGCAATATTCCCGGTCTGCCGCAATTCACGACGAGCACGGCGCCCCTGGTTTCCACGGTTACTGCCGCCGTGACGGACGTGACAGTGACTCCCTCCAACAATCCGCAACAGCAACAGCAGCAGGATGCCGCCGGCAGCAGCAATCGCTACCAGCAGCAACAGGTAGCGCATTTTGGCCAGGCCAATATGACGGCTGGCCAAGGAACCAGTGGCAATAACAAGTTTCGTGGCGGCCAGGAGGATGCCCTCCAGGGTGACAAGTACAATGGACATTTGGTGGCATCCTCCCAGCAGCAGCAGCAACAGCAACAACAACAGCAGCAGCAGACGCAATATGCGACTGTTGCATATGCAAGTGCAACAGCAACGAGTGCTGCAGCGGATGCCCTGCAGGCGGGAACTTCCGGCCAGCAGCAACAGCAGCAGATGCAGCAGCAACAGGTCACCGCCCCACAGGAACTCACCCAAGATCTGTGCAACGCCATCCTGCAGCAACAAGGTGAGCGGTCAATAAGTCAATATCCTACTTTCGAAATAAAAGGGATGTCACAAAAATTGCTTTAACCAACGGCGCAGCTTTGCTTTAAGTCAATAATTTGATTTTATAAAGTAACCCAAATTCTTAAACCTAAACAAACCAAAACTTAGTAAGGGCACTAAGAAACTACCTCAAAATCAAATATATTTATCAGAAGTATAAAAATTCTAATTATAATCTACAAAAATTGATTTTTTATTGTAGTTCAAGTAGTATAATTCTGGTTAATATATTCAATTGTTTGCAGTACTCCAGAATACCTCGTGGCAAACTCTGACGCCGGGCACCACTGTCGCCGACTACCTCTCGCATCTTCCAGCCAACACGTTGCCCCTTTCGCTGCACCACTTCCTCAAGTATTCGGCGGAGACTATCAAGAAGGAGAACCAGCAGAATGTGGTAAGTGACTATAAGGATTTGTGACAAAAATGAATGTTCTGCAGTTTAGAATTAGGAATAACGTTTTGTAATAGGATTGCCAAACAAGAAGCAATCAAACCACATCCAAACCAAAGACCCTACAAAGTGCATATTCTTGAGCAAAACAACGCATAAATATTTGTAAAAAATGGGAAAAAAACATGTTCATTTTTTAAACTTTATGAAAAAATGGAATATATTTTTTATAACTTTTTTTGTTGCCATTTTTGAAATTTTGAAAGCAAATCGATTTTCTTTTGTATTGTAATCGCAAATCTTTCAAACGTTTTTCTGTTCTTTCGCGAAGAGGGAACAACTTGTGTCTTAGGTTAATTTGAGTAACATTTTTTGACTTTTCAAAGAATGAAAATATAAAACAAAAAAATTTTAACCAAACATTAAACGATAACATTTGCCACTAGGTACTGCAGGTGCAGACGGGACCAGCCATCGGGATCAACACCCTGGGCACGACAACCATTAGTATACCTCAGCAGGAGCAGCTGACGCTGCAGGCGCCGCAGCAGACGACGCTGCAGGTGCAGACGCAGGCGGCGGTCACGGCGACGGTGACGTCGGTGACGGCGACAACGACCGGCGGAACTGGCGGCACTTCCGGGAAGAAAAAGAAGCGCAAAAAGCGGAGCAAGGACAGGAAACCGAAGCTGCGACCTGGAGAGATTCGCCTGGGAACAGCGCTCGACGGCAGTCCACTGTACATGTGCCCCGAATGCCATGTGGCGTATCCGGAACCGGAACTACTGGAGGTCCACCTGGTGGGTCACAACCTGGAGAAGAGGTACGTCTGCGATATCTGCCAGGCGTCGCTGAAACGCAAGGATCACCTCACCCGCCACAAACAGTCGCACAACCCTGAGAGGCCCTACATCTGCACCGTTTGCCTGAAAGCCTTCAAGCGAAAGGAGCAGCTGAGCCTGCATTTTGTGATCCACTCCGGGGAGAAGCGCCACCAGTGCGGCGAGTGTGGCAAGGGCTTCTACCGCAAGGATCACCTGCGCAAACACACCCGCTCCCACATCGCACGTCGGGTCAAGGCCGAGCTGAATAGCCATGTGCGACGCGAGAATGGCACCAGCATGCTGCAGCCCGTGGTCACGGAGGCAACAACGGCGGCCCTGCAACATGCCAACCAACTGGCCACCGCGCAGCAACAGTTGCAACAGCAACAACAGCAACAACAGCAGCAGCAGCAGCAACAACAGCAACAGCAGCAACATCACATAGTGATCACCCAGCAGCAACAGGCACCGCAGCAACAGCAGCAGCAACAGACTTCGCAGCAGCAGCAACAGCAGCAAATGATAAATTAGCCAAATGATTTTTGTAAAGTCAGTTAAAGCAAAATTCAATTTAGTATCATCCAAGTCCTCTGAAGGCTTGGTTGCTCAAAAAATAACTCTTTCGGTCCACACAATTTAATTGACTCTCACAAATCGGATACTACAAACAGGAGGATGTTAGCTAATGTCTTCAAGGATTTCCCCATGGGAATTCTCAACGTTGTACAATTTTAATCGTAAGTCCACGATGAAAAGGGGACCGTCCGCAAGGCACAATTTCTGGGATAACATTAGCTTCATTTTGATACAATCCTTTGATGGTTTATTTCAACTCATTAATTTTCAATTTTGTAACAGGTATTTTTAACTAAGTTATACAAGTGGGTTAATTTAACTCATATTGAATATTTTAAACAAAGCTAAATAAGTCAAATTTAAATTGATTTTTGAAATAGATCTCAAATATTCACATTTTCTAAAAACACTTTATAAAATGCCCCTATTCAAAACAGAGTTTGTATTATGATTTCTATTTTGTAAATTTTTGATTAGCTTTCCATAGATAAATATTATCCCAAAATGGTCGGTCCCAGGCCTTTGTCCGCCCTAACATTCCATACTCTAATTTAAGACAAATGTGCAAAGGAATAATAATTTTATACGCAATGTATTTTAGTGAAATGTATTTTTCTACAATTAGAATCAATGTTGTATGGTATGTATGTCTGTCCATATGTACATACACCTGTACGATTACATGAATACTGTTCACTGGCAGCGAACTATATATTTATATACTATGTAAACAAATGCAATTTAGATTTACACTTACTTGTAGGAACGAATCTAAAATTGTGAATGTACGTATAACATTTTGCTACACCGATAAATCAACCACAAACCCTTGTAAATATGCAGTAAAATATATAATTTGATCTAAACCGAAGTAAAACAATTTTATTCTTAAAAACAAATCATTTTTAATACAATTTCAGATGATAAAAAAAATCCCAAAACAATATCCATATATATACATTAACAAAATATATTTTTTGGGGTTATTTATTTGCTTTATTTAAAGTACTCATAAATTACGATTATTATGCACCATTTATTGTAGTCAATTAAATAATTAATCATTAGCGTTATCCGTATTATTATCTGTATATGTATGTGTTAGTTTTATATCGTTTATTTATGTACGAGCAGGTTTGATTTACCGTCCATTGCGTGCGTACTCTACTAGGCTTAACGTTATGATGTATTACAAAATAGGCATTAATTTTATGGGGAAAGGAACGTGACATGGAGGGGTATTCATTTATGGTAGAAAAGCGGACATGACAGCTTATCAAAATTTGTGCTTTATACACATTTAAATCAGTAAATTCTGTGATGAATCTTTCATGGATTTATAATTCGGGTTTTAATGATTATACAACGAGGCCTTATTAAAAATATATATGTTTATAATATTTATAAGGATAGATTTATGTGAGAGTGTAAATGTGTAAAAGCGGAGTGCACCGATTACTCCCTGCAAAATGTGCAAAGTTCGTTTCACGCCCACTTATCAACATTCAAGATCGTAGATAATTTCTGCGTATTGTTTTTTTTTTTTGGTAAGTTTTGTGTTTCGTTTTCGTTGCGAAAAGAACTGCTAAATCACTGTACAAAGAACGAAGCGTGTCTATAGGCCAACACCTACGGTCCGCAGAGAAACTTTCGTTTTTGGTCTTCCATGTAATCGCGTGTGGACATCTGGATCGCCTGCTGCAGCATCTCGCTTTCGTTAACTCCTGCCGATGGTAAAAAGGGATAATTGTTTAGATCCACATACATTAGAATAAATAGAGGAGTTAATAATCCAGCAACAAACAATTTGTTAGGCCCCTAAAACGATTCAATCAAGCATTTTAAAAGGCAAGATCTCTTTTAAATATCGTTTAAATTATTTTAAATTTAAAACTATATTATTTATTATAATTTAGAGCACACAACTTATATTATTATCAAAACATAACAATTTAGAAAATATACATTTTAAGTTGTAATTGTTAATTAGTATTGCTTTTGGTTGATTTTTCTCTTCTTAATCACTGTTTTTTTAAAACTCACCCTCATTGGCGTAGGATGCCTCGAGCAACTCCTGGTAGAAGCTGGAGTAACTCTGCTCCCTGGGCGACTTGGCGTCTCCGCTCTTCTGTGGCGAGTGGGAGGACTGCTTCGAGGTGCACGGTCGCTGCTCAGCCTCCGGCGTGTCAGCGCGAGGCACAGATGGAACAGAATCGCGCTTGGGACTCTTTCTCAGCGGAGCTTCCGAAACCTCGGCGCTGCAAGGTAGGAAGGAACGTAAAACCTCAGTAAGCTGGCTTACAAGTCAAGGCGAACACCAACCTCTTGCCGGCCAGCGGCGCCTCGCGAGTCTCGTGGCGTCGCTTCTTTCTGAGGGCAGTAGTGCGACGGTGTGACTTGGATCCCTTGGCGGAACGCTGGCCTGAAGAAGCAGTGCTGGGCGATGAATTCCCACCGTAATGTCCCACCGAGCTGGTGCTACTCATATCTGTGGCATCGCTTTCGTAGCCAGCCAGCTCGCTGACCTCTGGCGGCAGCTTGTGGCTAAACTGACTAAGTGTTTTAGGCGACAGGGAAAACGCGGGGGCTGTGGCATCAGCACCACTGGCGCTGGTCAAAGTCACGGCCGTATTGCCGCTGCTGCCGGTACCCCCACACATAGAGTACTTTGAGGGCGAGGCATCCGAATCAGTAAGCGCCTCCGCAGAGGTAACCGTTGAGGATGTGGCCGATCCAGCGGCCGTATTAGTGCTGCGAGAGCGTTGCATATTCTCGCGGCACCACTGCAGGTATGACTCGCGAGCGATTTGCTCCTCGATGGCTTCGTTAGTAGCCTCCCAGTCTGTTGTCTTTAGCTTATCCTCGAACATGGTCTGCAATTTGCGAGGGTCAGTAAAATGATTTTAAAGACTATTGCCGTACACACCTGTTCGATCTCCAACTGCTCGCTGAGACGCACTGCCTCTTTGGTTTGGATCTCGGGCTTGTATCCAGCCAAGCCCAGGCCGACACCAACGGTGGCGTTGTAGGGATCTAAGATTGCATTGTAGTGTGAGCCGCGCTGATAGGACAGGCGCAGTGGGGGATATCCTGCCTGCGACTGTTCAGAATTAAATATATTGATAGGATCTGGAACAGAAAATATGTATAATTAAGATCAAAGTATATATTTGGCACACGGAAATCAATCAAATCTATTACATTTTTTTTATCCGTACTTTAATTTTGTCTATGAATAAAATAAATAATAATAAAAATAAATAATTTGTTTGTGATTACATTTTAAAATGAAATCGTTGCAAAAATGAAGCGTACTGCAATAACTACAAAATTATTTTTCTCCTAAATATTTGGCATATTCCCTGCATTTTTCTAAAAAAAAAAAAAAAGACCACTTACTTGACTGGTAGCAGTATACTTCGACGGTGCGGCTGTAGATCTCGGATATGGCCTGGATCTCGATGTGGTTTCCATGAGCATCACGAGCTCGTTTACGCTGTATGTAGCTGTTGATGTCCTCAGTGACGAACTGACCGAAATACTCGCGGTTCTCGTTCTGTGGAAGAAACAACATTTGTTAGGATGGAGTTCAATAATATAAAGACGCTCCAATAATATATATTACAATGTAGTCCATCGTGTGTTGACGGATCACGTCGTGCATCTCCTCGTCGCCGTATATCTGCAGCGAAATGGAGCGAAAGAGACAGGCGCCATCCTCCTCGACAGGCTTCAGTTCGTAGCCGCGCTGTTCCATGCACTTGGCGAACTCCACATCCCGTCGCTGCCATTCCTCCACCGGAATCAATCGCTCCTTGGGCTGAAGATGCTCATCGCCGCTGTTATAGCCGGAGAAGGTCTCCTCCACTGTTTTCAGCAGATTGGCGGCTGCTGCGGCCGGGGACATCTGGACCTGAGCTTTGGGTACTGTGGCGCAGCCTAGCCCCAAATGTTCGGGTGAATTCCTGCCCACCGCCGAAGGACTACTGCTGCCCGATGTGGAGGTCAATGGTGGACTATTGCACTTGCTGCCAGATACACCGGGAGCTCCACTGCCCGCCACCACCGCCGGATGGTTTAGTTTCTCACGCTCCAGGCGATCGCGCTTATAGTGATGGGCATGCGTGTCGTGGTGGTCGCGTCGCTTGGAACGGGTACTGCTTGAAAATGGAAAATCATCAACATTAAATTCCAAATCAAATGTTTACGAATTTTGGATTTTTACAAACTGAACGCCAACTACTGATTCTCTTACATGTCAAAGAATGTTTGACTTGAAAATTTGAAACCCAAAATGGGTATCATTTTGGTTAGTTAATAATCAGAAAAAATTACTTAATAAATATGTAAATGGCGCAATTTTTTTATAAAAGCCGAGTTATATCGCAAAAGTTCTTAATTTTGTCATATTACATATTGTTGATTTATATTATTAAGGAACATTTTATTTGTATCAAATATACCAATTTGAACAAATATGGTCTATTGAATGTTTATCTTGAACCCTTTAAAATCATAGTGTAACTGTATAAGGCTAAAAAACTGTTGGCATTAAAACCGACCTTTGTAGCCATTAAAAGTAATTTGAAGAAAAAGGAAATTGCACTTTTCAGGAAGAAATTATAAAATACTTTGGTCACGCTTATATGTTAAATTCTCTAAACCTTAATAAATTTTCGTGTAGTACAACTTAGGGACCAGGAATGTTACCACGGTTCGGGGGAATCCCCCTTCTTGATGCCCTCAGGCAAGAAACCCAATTAAATGCAGCTGCTACAGGGCGTGGAGCCCCACCCGGGCCATCACTCACCTCTTGTGGGGACTGCAGCGATGGGTGCGTGCCAGTTCGTCGTAGACCTCGCCACGCCTCTGGGGACTCTACAAAAAAAAAGGGCGGAAAGGAGGAGCAAATTAATAGGTACATTCAGATGGGGATTTAGAACTATGACCCACTCACCTGCCCATGTCCATCGATGACTACGTTGCGATGGTTGTGGGTGTGGGTCTGGCTGACCACCGACTGCTCCACCACCACAACCTGAGCCTCCGTGTTATCGGGATCCACATTGCCAGTCACACGTTTCGCACTTGGTGGTGCGCTTACTGGCTTAATTGTCATGGTGGTGCTTCGCTATATTTGTGGCTCTGACTGTCCTGGCTTCTTTGTTGTAAGTAATTGATGGATTCCAAACTTTCTGGTGGTGAAACGTCGCCTTCTATTTTATTCGCTTTTCACACAACCCAAATAATCTGTGTTCTTTGTCCGAGATGTGTCGTCGCAGAAAATGCGACCCAGTGGTTCCTTTCACCCACTAAATAAACTGAAGTTTCTCTTTTATCTGGATAGAGAAAATTGTGTGGCTTTGTCGAACGCTGCCTGTGTTCTTTACTATTCCGATCCAAATTCTGACAACGAATCACAAAAACTGCTGGGATTTACAAAAAATAAAAAAAATGACATTTCCAGATTTTTATCTGTTTGTGCTTGTGTATGGGCAAGTGTGCGTGTGTGTGTGCAGTGTTTGCTATTGCTCACAATTATCGGTTTGGCCCAATAGCCGCGAATAACGTTGTCTCCGGAAGTATCTGTAATGATTATACGATTTGGTTTATCAGTTTTTATCAACTATTTCGGGGGTTTTATATTGTTGATAATCCTGTAATTCGATTTTTTTTATTTTGTGCACGTTGTGCAGTGTGACCGCGGCTTTTTGCGATAAATTACTTCCTCATGCGGTATTTAATATAGCAAATATACCATTTAGCACCGAATATGGAAAAAATACCTGTTAGGCGCGAAGTTTTCAAAATCATCACAATAATTAAATTAGTTTTAGATTAAAACAAGATAAGAAGCAAAGCCGAAGTTTATATACCCTTGCAGATATTATTAATGAACTACATTTCGATTTCTATGCCTATATTACTAAAAGCAATGAAGCTAAGTCCGTTTTGCTATCGCTTCTATGGAATCTATATGATATTGTTGTCCGATTTTAATTTAATTTAAACCGTAATTCCACAATATTTAAATATTACCAAATCCCGAAGAACAAAAAAAATTAAAAACAACAAAGTTATAATTTTTTTGAATTTTTTTTCCGATTGTTCCTATGTGAGCTATATGATATAGTCGCCCGATTCGTCTCGTTCCGACTTATATACTACCTGCAATAGAAAGACAACTTTAGCTTTCAAACAGATAGCTTTAAAACTGAGATACTAGTTTGCGCAGAAACGGACAGACGGACGGACGGACATGGCTAGATCAACTCTCCTGGTGATGCTGATCAAGAATATATATACTTTAAAGGATCGGAAATGTCTCCTTCAATGCGTTGCAAAGTTTTGACTGAAATTAAAATACCCTCTGCAAGGGTATAAAAATGATCAATAAAAATTATTTTTTTCTTTATTAAAAGACTTAAGTAGGAATAAATAAAAAGAGACGACATTTTTTTTTCATCTTTGAAATATCACAAATTTTAAAATATTTTGCAATTATAATTATAAATAAAGATATATTTATTTACAAGTACTTGACAATTAAAATGCAAACCGTTATTAAAAATATATATGCCTTTCAAATTAGTAAAACAAACAAAAAACACTCTTAGAGAACAGAAATTTTTTAATTTTTTTAATATTTGTTTTGAGCAGATTATGGACAGCATGTTATAAGAATAAAAAAATACAATTTTTAATAATACAAAAGAACAGTGAAATTACCACCATGATAAATATAATGCTCCAATTCGTATCACGTACCACGCAGGCTACTGACTTTTTGTCGTTAGAAACTAAGACCTGAAACATATGTGCAAATATTTAGCGGAGTAGATTTAGACATTAGACTTTGCTTTGGGAATGATATAAAAACACCAAAGCAAGTAACTAAAAATTTAGTTTTCATTCCAACCAAACATGAAGATAGAGGTTTTGTTTCTTATTTGTTCGGTGGTTCAGGTGGCGATGTCATGCGCCAACGCCGAAACACCCACAACCACTGAAGCTGCTCCGACCACGACAGAATATCCATCAGTTCCCCAAGGGTCATGGACGGACTTAATTAAGTTTTTAAACAGCAGCAGTAATGGAAACAAGTTTTACTTTTTCTTTTAGAGTTTCTTGTCCCCGAAACAAAAAAAAAGTGTCCATTGAAAGAAATTTCTAATGATTTATGTACTTGCTAAATTCGCAAAATTATTTTTAAAATAAATGAATTAGCATTTTGCAGATTATTAAAATAAACATGCTAAATATTTCATTACTTTCTTAAATTAAAGAAATGGTTGTTCGACAAATATAAAGAATGCAACTTTATATTTTTTTTCGAAAGATTACTCTACATTTATTCTGAAATTTATTATTTTTAATTTTTGGGTACTTAACCTGTTTCTCTTATCCTCTGCAAAGTGCAGGAGGGCATCTGTCCGAAAAAGTTAAGACACAGATAAACTTGTAAAAACAAATCAGTTTTTTCTACTTTTTCTAATTTATTTGAACGAGAAAACATTACAGAAGAAAAAGACTTAGCAGGTAGTCTGGGGCCCTGTTAATGTTAGATTTCATATTGACGCTTAAGAAAACAAACTTTTCTTAGCTGGGATTTTATTTCTCCCAAAAATTATAATAGACAAAAAATCGGCCCTGTTTTTAAGAACATTGACCAGTTACCGTAGCCTCTAATAAATTGGTATTAAAGGATTTTAAAAAACCCACAGTAAGCGTAAAATTTCCCAACAAGTGGTATTGCTGTGATACCAAACATGAAAAACGATTTCATAATATTCAAATGCATATATTTTACAATCGTTAAAATTAAAGTCATCAGCCATTTTATTCTGGCCCTATCCATATCGGAAAAACTTTAATATTGATTGCTCCAACCGCCCCATCCGCTTCCATATGGACTCCATTGGTAACCCCATCTCGGCCTGGCTCCAACGCCCATCCAACGTCGGTTGCCCCACCAATAGGGTCCACCTTGGAGTGTAGTTGCGTCACTGGAACTCTCCAACTGCTCCGCATTCAGCCCATCAACGGATATCGCCTCATTATCGGAACCAATGTTGTCTTGTGTCCAGGAATTGGAGTTCTGCGACTGCCCATCTTGAGCGGACCGGCCACGAGCCAAACGGAAACGGATGTCTGAAGATCCCTGGTCACTAGATCTGTCACTGGAGAATCCTGAGCGCTGGGACCAGGATTGTGTGCCTCGAGATCCGCTTCCACCACCAATAGAACCTGAAACTGATGAGCCATCACTGCCATCGGTCACACCATTTGTGGTGCTTCTTTTAATCAGCTTTGACCAGGAACCCGAAGAATCACCTCCACCTACAGAGATGCCTGCATCAAGGATTGGCAGGGTTAGCCGGATAGGATTAGATGTTTTCTGCGACGAACTAGACCAAGAGTATTTTGTCTGAGTCTTAGGCACCGATGCAGTTTTTGATGTTATGGTTGTAGTTGTAGTTTTGCTTGAACTAGACTTTCCATTTGAATCTGGAACTTTTGAGTGGTTCGAGGTATAGGTTTTTGTCGTTTTGGTCGAGGTTGAGCTCGACTTACCGTCATTAAATGCTATGCTGGCGTCAACTACAGGTAGAGTCAAGCTGTCTGCCAATTTTCCTCCCGTGGTGGATATGGTTGTGGTCGTTGTTGACGAAGTTGTGCTTGATTTTCCACCATTAAGTGAAATGCTGGCATCAACTACAGGTAGTGATGAGGTACTTGTCGACTTGCTTCCTTTGGTGGTGGTTGTTGTAGTCGTTGTTGAAGATTTCGAGCCCAAATCTCCGCCCTTCAAGGAAATGCTGGCGTCAAGTACAGGAAGAGTCAAGCTATCAGACAGTTTTCCTCCTGAGTTGGATGTTGTTGTGGTCGTTGTTGACGATGTTGTGCTTGATTTTCCGCCATTAAGTGAAAGGCTTGCATCAACAGCAGGTAGCGATGGGGTACTTGACGACTTGCTTCCCTTGGTGGTGGTTGTTGTAGTCGTTGTTGAAGATTTCGAGCCCAAATCTCCGCCCTTCAGGGAAATGCTGGCGTCAAGTACAGGAAGAGTCAAGCTATCAGACAGTTTTCCACCTGAGTTAAATGTTGTCGTGGTCGTTGTTGACGATGTTGTGCTTGATTTTCCACCATTTAGTGAAAGGCTGGCATCAACTGCAGGTAGCGATGAGGTACTTGTCGACTTGCTTCCCTTGGTGGTGGTTGTTGTAGTCGTTGTTGAAGATTTCGAGCTCAAATCTCCGCCATTCAAGGAAATGCTGGCGTCAAGTACAGGAAGAGTCAAGCTATCAGACAGTTTTCCTCCTGAGTTGGATGTTGTTGTGGTCGTTGTTGACGATGTTGTGCTTGATTTTCCACCATTAAGTGAAAGGCTGGCATCAACTGCAGGTAGCGATGAGGTACCTGACGACTTGCTTCCCTTGGTTGTGGTTGTTGTAGTCGTTGTTGTAGATTTGGAGCCCAAATCTCCGCCATTCAAGGAAATGCTGGCGTCAAGTACAGGAAGAGTCAAGCTATCAGACAGTTTTCCTCCTGAGTTAGATGTTGTCGTGGTCGTTGTTGACGATGTTGTGCTTGATTTTCCACCATTAAGTGAAAGGCTGGCATCAACTGCAGGTAGCGATGAGGTACTTGACGACTTGCTTTCTTTGGTGGTGGTTGTTGTAGTCGTTATTGAAGATTTCGAGCCCAAATCTCCGCCATTCAGCGAAAGGCTGGCGTCAAGTACAGGAAGAGTCAAGCTATCAGACAGTTTTCCTTCTGAGTTAGATGTTGTCGTGGTCGTTGTTGACGATGTTGTGCTTGATTTTCCACCATTAAGTGAAATGCTGGCATCAACTACAGGTAGTGATGAGGTACTTGACGACTTGCTTCCCTTGGTGGTGGTTGTTTTAGTCGTTGTTGAAGATTTCGATGCCAAATCTCCGCCATTTAGCGAAATGCTGGCGTCAAATACAGGAAGAGTCAAGCTATCAGACAGTTTTCCTCCTGAGTTAGATGTTGTCGTGGTCGTTGTGGACGATGTTGTGCTTGATTTTCCACCATTAAGTGAAAGGCTGGCATCAACTGCAGGTAGCGATGAGGTACTTGACGACTTGCTTCCTTTGGTGGTGGTTGTTGTAGTCGTTGTTGAAGATTTCGAGCCCAAATCTCCCCCATTCAGCGAAAGGCTGGCGTCAAGTACAGGAAGAGTCAAGCTATCATACAGTTTTCCTTCTGAGTTAGATGTTGTCGTGGTCGTTGTTGACGATGTTATGCTTGATTTTCCACCATTAAGTGAAAGGCTGGCATCAACTGCAGGTAGCGATGAGGTACTTGACGACTTGCTTCCCTTGGTTGTGGTTGTTGTAGTCGTTGTTGTAGATTTGGAGCCCAAATCTCCGCCATTCAAGGAAATGCTGGCGTCAAGTACAGGAAGAGTCAAGCTATCAGACAGTTTTCCTCCTGAGTTAGATGTTGTCGTGGTCGTTGTGGACGATGTTGTGCTTGATTTTCCACCATTAAGTGAAAGGCTGGCATCAACTGCAGGTAGCGATGAGGTACTTGACGACTTGCTTCCTTTGGTGGTGGTCGTTGTAGTCGTCGTTGAAGATTTCGAGCCCAAATCTCCGCCATTCAGCGAAAGGCTGGCGTCAAGTACAGGAAGAGTCAAGCTATCAGACAGTTTTCCTTCTGAGTTAGATGTTGTCGTGGTCGTTGTTGACGATGTTGTGCTTGATTTTCCACCGTTAAGTGAAAGGCTGGCATCAACTGCAGAATCATTCTTATCTGAAGAAGTCGTTGTTGTCGTGGTCGACGATGTCTCGCTAGAGTTTCCACCATTGACAGATTTCTTCGATGAACTCGACCAGGAGTGCTTGATCTTAGGTGTCGAAGTGCTTAAAGTTGTAGTTGTTGTAGTTTCGCTAGAGGTGGTGCTCGATTTTCCAACAGACTTTGGAATCTTGGGGGTTTTTGACGAATACGTTTTTGTAGTTCCAGTCGTGGTTGAGCTTGATTTGTCGCCTTTAACCACTACACTGGCATCGACTACAGGCACAGATGAAGCAGTTGACTGATCGCTTCCGTTGGTTGATGTTATAGTAGTAGTTGTGGATGACTGGCTCCAATCTCCTGATGGAGATAATTGGTTTGAACCTTGATTGAGATCAACAACAGCATCGGCTATTGAGTCAGACGATTCTCCTCCGTCAACAGAGAAACTCTCGGTTTTATTTTTGCGGGCTATGTTTGCCCACCGCTTGGCCCAATATTTTTTAGCCTTGCCACCATGGGATGTTTTCTTCCATAACTTCGACCAGGAGTGTCTGATCTTAGGTGACTCGGAGGAGCTTGATGTTACAGTTGTCGTTGTTTCGGTAGAGCTGGAATTCGAGTTACCTTTTGACTTGGGGATCTTAGAGGTCTTTGACGAATAAGTTTTTGTGGTCTTAGTCCACTTTGAGCCTTGTGTTCCGCCTTTAACTAAAATACTGGAATCTACCGGCGTGGATTCTTTAGATTGACCCTCATTCGAGGTTGTTGTCGTTGTGGTTGTGGCCGTAGATTGGCTGGATTCTCCATCACCGTTTGAGGAGCTGCCCTTCGTGACTTGCACAATAGGGCCAGAAGCAGTGCTTGACTGGCCCTCATCGGAAGAAGTGGTCGTGGTTATTGTGGACGAAGACTGACTGGAGTTTCCATTTCCGTACGAGGAGCTTCCCTGAGTGACTTTAACAACTGGAGCAGTCGTGTTGGTGGATTGACCTTCATTCGAGGTTGTTGTCGTTGTGGTTATGGTCGTCGATTGGCTGGAGTTTCCATCACCGTTAGAGGAGCTTCCCTGAGTGACTTTCACAATAGGGTCAGTAGTGGTGCTGGACTGGCCCTCATCGGAAGATGTGGTCGTGGTTGTTGTGGACGAAGACTGACTGGAGTTTCCACTTCCATTCGAGGAGCTTCCCTGAGTGACTTTAACAACTGGAGTAGTCGTGTCGGTGGATTGACTTTCATTCGAGGTTGTGGTCGTTGTGGTTATGGTCGTAGATTGAGTAGAGTTTCCGCCACCGTTCGAGGAGCTTCCCTGAGTGACTTCCACAATAGGGTCCGAAGTAGTGCTCGACTGGCCCTCATCGGAAGATGTGGTCGTGGTTGTTGTGGACGAAGACTGACTGGAGTTTCCACTTCCATTCGAGGAGCTTCCCTGAGTGACTTGAACAACTGGAGCAGTCGTGTCGGTGGATTGACCTTCATTCGAGGTTGTCGTCGTTGTGGTTGTGGTCGTGGATTGAGTAGAGATTCCGCCACCGTTCGAGGAGCTTCCCTGAGTGACTTCCACAATAGGGTCAGAAGTAGTGCTCGACTGGCCCTCATCGGAAGATGTGGTCGTGGTTGTTGTGGACGTAGACTGACTGGAGTTTCCATTTCCATTCGAGGAGCTTCCCTGAGTGACTTCTACAACTGGAGCAGTCGTGTCGGTGGATTGACCTTCATTCGAGGTTGTCGTCGTTGTGGTTGTGGTCGTGGATTGAGTAGAGTTTCCGCCACCGTTCGAGGAGCTTCCCTGAGTGACTTCCACAATAGGGTCAGAAGCAGTGCTCGTGGTTGTTGTGGACGAAGACTGACTGGAGTTTCCATTTCCATTCGAGAAGCTTCCCTGAGTGACTTCTACAACTGGAGCAGTCGTGTTGGTGGATTGACCTTCATTCGAGGTTGTTGTCGTTGTGGTTGTGGTCGTGGATGGGCTGGAGTTTCCATCACCGTTAGAGGAGCTTCCCTGAGTGACTTTCACAATAGGGTCAGTAGTGGTGCTGGACTGGCCCTCATCGGAAGATGTGGTCGTGGTTGTTGTGGACGAAGACTGACTGGAGTTTCCACTTCCATTCGAGGAGCTTCCCTGAGTGACTTTAACAACTGGAGCAGTCGTGTTGGTGGATTGACCTTCACTCGAGGTTGTTGTCGTTGTGGTTGTGGTCGTGGATTGAGTAGAGTTTCCGCCACCGTTCGAGGAGCTTCCCTGAGTGACTTCCACAATAGGGTCAGAAGCAGTGCTCGACTGGCCCTCATCGGAAGATGTGGTCGTGGTTGTTGTGGACGTAGACTGACTGAAGTTTCCATTTGCATTCGAGGAGCTTCCCTGAGTGACTTTAACAACTGGAGCAGTCGTGTCGGTGGATTGAACTTCATTCGAGGTTGTCGTCGTTGTGGACGTGGTCGTGGATTTGCTGGAGTTTCCGCCACCGTTCGAGGAGCTCCCCTGAGTGACTTTCACAATAGGGTCAGAAGTAGTGCTGGACTGGCCCTCATCGGAAGATGTGGTCGTGGTTGTTGTGGACGAAGACTGACTGGAGTTTCCATTTCCATTCGAGGAGCTTCCCTGAGTGAGTTCTACAACTGGAGCAGTCGTGTCAGTGGATTTACTCTCATTCGAGGTTGTCGTCGTTGTGGTCGTGGATTGGCTGGAGTTTCCATCACCGTTCGAGGAGCTTCCCTGAGTGACTTCCACAATAGGGTCAGAAGCAGTGCTCGACTGGCCCCCATCGGAAGATGTGGTCGTGGTTGTTGTGGACGAAGACTGACTGGAGTTTCCACTTCCATTCGAGGAGCTTCCCTGAGTGACTTTAACAACTGGAGTAGTCGTGTCGGTGGATTGACTTTCATTCGAGGTTGTGGTCGTTGTGGTTATGGTCGTAGATTGAGTAGAGTTTCCGCCACCGTTCGAGGAGCTTCCCTGAGTGACTTCCACAATAGGGTCCGAATTAGTGCTCGACTGGCCCTCATCGGAAGATGTGGTCGTGGTTGTTGTGGACGAAGACTGACTGGAGTTTCCACTTCCATTCGAGGAGCTTCCCTGAGTGACTTGAACAACTGGAGCAGTCGTGTCGGTGGATTGACCTTCATTCGAGGTTGTCGTCGTTGTGGTTGTGGTCGTGGATTGAGTAGAGTTTCCGCCACCGTTCGAGGAGCTTCCCTGAGTGACTTCCACAATAGGGTCAGAAGTAGTGCTCGACTGGCCCTCATCGGAAGATGTGGTCGTGGTTGTTGTGGACGTAGACTGACTGGAGTTTCCATTTCCATTCGAGGAGCTTCCCTGAGTGACTTTAACAACTGGAGTAGTCGTGTCGGTGGATTGACTTTCATTCGAGGTTGTGGTCGTTGTGGTTATGGTCGTAGATTGAGTAGAGTTTCCGCCACCGTTCGAGGAGCTTCCCTGAGTGACTTCCACAATAGGGTCCGAAGTAGTGCTCGACTGGCCCTCATCGGAAGATGTGGTCGTGGTTGTTGTGGACGAAGACTGACTGGAGTTTCCACTTCCATTCGAGGAGCTTCCCTGAGTGACTTTAACAACTGGAGCAGTCGTGTCGGTGGATTGACCTTCATTCGAGGTTGTCGTCGTTGTGGTTGTGGTCGTGGATTGAGTAGAGTTTCCGCCACCGTTCGAGGAGCTTCCCTGAGTGACTTCCACAATAGGGTCAGAAGCAGTGTTCGACTGGCCCTCATCGGAAGATGTGGTCGTGGTTGTTGTGGACGAAGACTGACTGGAGTTTCCATTTCCATTCAAGGAGCTTCCCTGAGTGACTTCTACAACTGGAGCAGTCGTGTCGGTGGAATGACCTTGATTCAAGGTTTTCGTCGTTGTGGTTGTGGTCGTGGATTGAGTAGAGATTTCGCCACCGTTCGAGGAGCTTCCCTGAGTGACTTCCAAAATAGGGTCAGAAGCAGTGCTCGACTGGCCCTCATCGGAAGATGTGGTCGTGGTTGTTGTGGACGAAGACTGACTAGAGTTTCCACTTCCATTCGAGGAGCTTCCCTGAGTGACTTTAACAACTGGAGCAGTCGTGTCGGTGGATTGAACTTCATTCGAGGTTGTCGTCGTTGTGGACGTGGTCGTGGATTTGCTGGAGTTTCCGCCACCGTTCGAGGAGCTCCCCTGAGTGACTTTCACAATAGGGTCAGAAGTAGTGCTGGACTGGCCCTCATCGGAAGATGTGGTCGTGGTTGTTGTGGACGAAGACTGACTGGAGTTTCCATTTCCATTCGAGGAGCTTCCCTGAGTGAGTTCTACAACTGGAGCAGTCGTGTCAGTGGATTTACTCTCATTCGAGGTTGTCGTCGTTGTGGTCGTGGATTGGCTGGAGTTTCCATCACCGTTCGAGGAGCTTCCCTGAGTGACTTCCACAATAGGGTCAGAAGCAGTGCTCGACTGGCCCCCATCGGAAGATGTGGTCGTGGTTGTTGTGGACGAAGACTGACTGGAGTTTCCACTTCCATTCGAGGAGCTTCCCTGAGTGACTTTAACAACTGGAGTAGTCGTGTCGGTGGATTGACTTTCATTCGAGGTTGTGGTCGTTGTGGTTATGGTCGTAGATTGAGTAGAGTTTCCGCCACCGTTCGAGGAGCTTCCCTGAGTGACTTCCACAATAGGGTCCGAATTAGTGCTCGACTGGCCCTCATCGGAAGATGTGGTCGTGGTTGTTGTGGACGAAGACTGACTGGAGTTTCCACTTCCATTCGAGGAGCTTCCCTGAGTGACTTGAACAACTGGAGCAGTCGTGTCGGTGGATTGACCTTCATTCGAGGTTGTCGTCGTTGTGGTTGTGGTCGTGGATTGAGTAGAGTTTCCGCCACCGTTCGAGGAGCTTCCCTGAGTGACTTCCACAATAGGGTCAGAAGTAGTGCTCGACTGGCCCTCATCGGAAGATGTGGTCGTGGTTGTTGTGGACGTAGACTGACTGGAGTTTCCATTTCCATTCGAGGAGCTTCCCTGAGTGACTTTAACAACTGGAGTAGTCGTGTCGGTGGATTGACTTTCATTCGAGGTTGTGGTCGTTGTGGTTATGGTCGTAGATTGAGTAGAGTTTCCGCCACCGTTCGAGGAGCTTCCCTGAGTGACTTCCACAATAGGGTCCGAAGTAGTGCTCGACGGGCCCTCATCGGAAGATGTGGTCGTGGTTGTTGTGGACGAAGACTGACTGGAGTTTCCACTTCCATTCGAGGAGCTTCCCTGAGTGACTTTAACAACTGGAGCAGTCGTGTCGGTGGATTGACCTTCATTCGAGGTTGTCGTCGTTGTGGTTGTGGTCGTGGATTGAGTAGAGTTTCCGCCACCGTTCGAGGAGCTTCCCTGAGTGACTTCCACAATAGGGTCAGAAGCAGTGTTCGACTGGCCCTCATCGGAAGATGTGGTCGTGGTTGTTGTGGACGAAGACTGACTGGAGTTTCCATTTCCATTCAAGGAGCTTCCCTGAGTGACTTCTACAACTGGAGCAGTCGTGTCGGTGGAATGACCTTGATTCAAGGTTTTCGTCGTTGTGGTTGTGGTCGTGGATTGAGTAGAGATTTCGCCACCGTTCGAGGAGCTTCCCTGAGTGACTTCCAAAATAGGGTCAGAAGCAGTGCTCGACTGGCCCTCATCGGAAGATGTGGTCGTGGTTGTTGTGGACGAAGACTGACTAGAGTTTCCACTTCCATTCGAGGAGCTTCCCTGAGTGACTTTAACAACTGGAGCAGTCGTGTCGGTGGATTGACCTTCATTCGATGTTGTTGTCGTTGTGGTTGTGGTCGTGGATTGGCTGGAGTTTCCATCACCGTTCGATGAGCTTTCTTGAGTGACTTTCACAATAGGGTCAGAAGTAGGGCTGGACTGGCCCTCATCGGAAGATGTGGTCGTGGTTGTTGTGGACGTAGACTGACTGGATTTTCCATTTTCATTCGAGGAGCTTCCCTGAGTGACTTTAACAACTGGGGCAGTCGTGTCGGTGGATTGAACTTCATTCGAGGTTGTTGTCGTTGTGGACGTGGTCGTGGATTGGCTGGAGTTTCCGCCACCGTTCGATGAGCTCCCCTGAGTGACTTTCACAATAGGGTCAGAAGTAGTGCTGGACTGGCCCTCATCGGAAGAAGTGGTCGTGGTTGTTGTGGACGAAGACTGAATGGAGTTTCCATTTCCATTCGAGGAGCTTCCCTGAGTGACTTCTACAACTGGAGCAGTCGTGTCGGTGGATTGACCTTGATTCGAGGTTGTCGTCGTTGTGGTTGTGGTCGTGGATTGAGTAGAGTTTCCGCCACCGTTCGAGGAGCTTCCCTGAGTGACTTTCAAAATAGGGTCAGAAGCAGTGCTCGACTGGCCCTCATCGGAAGATGTGGTCGTGGTTGTTGTGGACGAAGACTGACTGGAGTTTCCACTTCCATTCGATGAGCTTCCCTGAGTGACTTTAACAACTGGAGCAGTCGTGTCGGTGGATTGACCTTCATTCGAGGTTGTTGTCGTTGTGGTTGTGGTCGTGGATTGGCTGGAGTTTCCATCACCGTTCGATGAGCTTTCCTGAGTGACTTTCACAATAGGGTCAGAAGTAGTGCTGGACTGGCCCTCATCGGAAGATGTGGTCGTGGTTGTTGTGGACGAAAACTGACTGGAGTTTCCATTTCCATTCGAGGAGCTTCCCTGAGTGACTTCTACAACTGGAGCAGTCGTGTCAGTGGATTTACTCTCATTCGAGGTTGTCGTCGTTGTGGTCGTGGATTGGCTGGACTTTTCATCACCGTTTGAGGAGCTTCCCTGAGTAACTTTCACAATAGGGTCAGAATTAGTGCTGGACTGGGCAGCATCCGAAGATTTGGTCGTGGTTGTTGTGGAGGAGCCTCCCTGAGCATTTTTCACTGCTGGAGCTGTGGAGTCTGTGGATTTACCGTCATTCGATGTTGTTGTCGTGGTGGTTGTTGTTGAGGATTTAGTTGTTACCCCGTTATCTAAAGTCTTAGAGCTCTCATCGGAGAGTTCAAGTACCTTTTTCCCGTTGGCACAATTCACATAGTTCGGATTTCCAAGCAATTCTCCATCGTGCAGGAGAAGTAACTTTCCGAAAAGCCGATCCAGCAGCCACAAGCGAATATCTTTTCGAATTTCAATCAGAGTTTGTCTAACACTTTCACAACATGGCTGTGGTTTTATATCCGGGGTAGCCACGGCCGTTGCCGTTTTAGATTGGGATTGGGCCGCTGCGAGGGCCAGAAAAGCAGCCAAGACCGCGACGAAAATCAAACGCATGATCGTCCTAGTAACCGGGCGTCTGATCAATTAGATCTGTTGGCCAAAATAAAATTTCGAAACCTTTTATACCCGATCCAGTTTCATTTTTTTGGGCTATTTGCGTAGATGCTTGTCTAGGTTGCAAATTTTATTTGTTAAAGAACATTTGGTACTTCCATTGTCTAAAAAAAATAACAAAAACTGTGCAAATTGACAAAACTAAGAAGTACTATAGTTCAAAATAAACATCTCTTGAATACCTGCTAAAGAAACAACTGTGCAAAATATTTTGTCTTCGTTTGGATTAAACACTTGTTAGATATTTTGACTTTACGTAAATCGCTCGCTCGTGTCAGAAGCGTACGTCAGAGGTACATTAACCGATTTTGGAACATTGTTAATGGCACACGAGAAACTTTTATTTGGCCAGCCAGTTCTTCACAATAATAAAAACAATGTAGACATAATTTTCAAGTTTTTTTTTTTCGTACGATTACAGATTAAATGATTATGTAACAAATTATAAATTTGAGCTCTCTTCTGTGCTGTCTTCTAGTATTCGTCCTTCTCGAAAGGGTGGTGGGGGTGACCGAAGTGGCTGTAAATAATTAAATTCAAAATTAATAAGTTCATTTCGTTCAATTTCGTTTTATGAAAATAGATTAAGACAATCGCAATGCAAATAACATATAAGGGAATATCGGGGAAATGACAAGCTAAAACTATTTTCAAGCGTATAAACGGGTTCAAATTATTTAACAAACCAAATAATACATTTTAAAACACAAGCGGGGAACGGTAAACCAATAAAAAAAACTAAGCAAACTAAGCTTAAGTCAACACAAACAATTCAGAGAGAAACACGTATGCGTCTGAAAAAGTGAAAACATACGTTAGCCTCATGTTCATGTTTTTGTAGATATTTTTCTTGAAATAGCTTCATGTTGCAATATATATTATTTCTCATTTATAGGTATTCTTCTTCATAACTTCTTGCTTAGGAGATATCGATTTCTCTAAGCTCAATACTCGTCGTGAAATGGATAATACTTATGGGTACCATGACTAAAATATAAATTTTAAAAAAATATAAATATATATAAATATAAATATTTGATTATTTCAAATTTTTGATTGTATCCATTAAAAAAATTCTGTTGGGTTCTCAAGACTTACCTAAGCAAGGGCACAAGGCGGCCGTTGCACTCGAAGCTCTCGATGGTTTCGATTTCCTCGGGTGTCAGCTCAAAGTCAAAGACCTGGAAGTTCGACTCGATTCGATCCTTGGTCACCGACTTGGGGATAACAATGTTGGCGCGCTGCACCTGGTAACGAATGAGGATCTGTCCAGGAGTCTTGTTTTTCTTGGTAGCAATCTCCTTGATCTATAAGTTGAAGACATATGTTAGTCAAATTAATCTAGCCCATGTAATATCAGACAGACCTTAGCCTCCTCTAGGATGACTGGGTCGCCAGCCTTGGCCCATGGGCGATTGGGAGATCCCAAGGGACTGTAGGCGGTAATCGTAATATCCTTCGACTTGCAGAAATCAATCAGTTTTTTCTGTGTCAGATATGGGTGGCACTCGATCTGGTTGGTTACCGGTGGGATTTTGGCCACCTCTAGCACGCGCTCAATCTGCCTCCTGTTGAAGTTAGAAACACCAATGGACTTGACCAGCCCTTCCTCCACCAGCTTCTCCATGGCCTTCCACGTATCGACATAGTCGACTGGTGAGTACAGGGTCTTGCCGTCCTTATCGCTAGGGAACAGCTCGCAGCCCTCTTTGAATCCCATGGGCCAGTGAATAAGGTACAGATCGAGGTATTTGAGCTTCAGAGAACTCAATGTGCTCTCCAGAGCAGTCTTGACCAGCTCAGGGCTATGGAAAGTGTTCCACAGCTTGCTGGTGATGAACAGATCCTCGCTGCAAGTAGGTGAAGTTTAATGCTACGCTCCGAGGAATACCAAACAGAGTTTAGAACTTACCGCTTGACAACACCCTCCTTGATCTTGGCCTCAACGCCCTCTCCGACCTCATCCTCATTCTGGTAGACAAGAGCACAGTCGATGTGCCTATATCCGGCATCAATGGCAATTTTCACAGCCTCGGTGACCTCACCCTTGGGGCTCTGGAAACATAAACCATGTCATATCATCAATAAAATAAAATACAATAAAAGATTTCCTTAGCAGTTCCAAATAAGTATTAAGTTATACATTTTACTTAAATGAATTACTAAAGGTCTTATTGTGTATCTTTAAAGGTCACTTATATGAATGTCTGTGATAAAAGTTTGCACAATTGTAGTAGGTACCAGACTAAATAATAATACACTAATTGGATTTCACACTTTCCAGGGTTAATAAATTATCCGCAAACAATTTTTGCAAGTAATACTGTGAATAAGAAAGGAAGGTCATGGCGTGTAGAACATAATTATGTCCCCCATTCATAAGTACGTCAGCATAGAATATTCTAAACTCTAAACGGAATTTCGCAATTCGTTGTCAGAAAAGTTTCAGTTACTAGGAGCGTGATGAAGAAATCGAAATCTATACGTCCTCCTATCTGACACTTGAAGTCACTTATCAGCCCCTTAGTTCCCGCATCCCAATAAACCTCGAAAGATTAGAATTGGGTCAGGCAATTGAAATAAATTTTAGGTTTAAGCACTTGAAATATAATAGCTTTAACAAGAAAGGAAAGCTAACTTCGGGCGGAGCCGAAGTTGATATACCCTTGCAGAATACTCTGTAAATTATATTTTCCAAAATTATTCATATGATGCATTCTTAATACTCATAAAAAATCCCAACTTCGTAACTTTAAAAACACCAAAGTTATGGCATTTCCAATCGTTCAGTTATATGGCAGCTATAGGATATAGTCGGTCGATCCTTATGAAGTTTGGTAGGTCGGATTGATTGGCCAAAAATAAAACCCATAGAAAATACCAACTTCCTAACTTTACAAACACCAAAGTTATGGCATTTCCGATCAATCAGTTATATGGCAGCTATAGGATATAGTCGGCCGATCCTTATAAAATTTGGTACGTCAAATTGATTGGCCAAATACAAAACACATAGAAAATCCCAACTTCCTAACTTTACAAACACCGAAGTTGTGGCATTTCCGATCGTTCAGTTATATGGCAGCTATAGGATATAGTCGGCCGATCCTTATAAAATTTGGTACGTCAAATTGATTGGCCAAATGTAAAACCCATAGAAAATCCCAACTTCCTAACTTTAAAAACACCAAAGTTATGGCATTTCCGATCGTTCAGTTATATGGCAGCTATAGGATATAGTCGGCCGATCCCGGCCGTTCCGACTTATATACTGCGTGCAAAGGAAAGAAGGGTGTGTGCAAAGTTTCAATTAGATATCTTTAAAACTGAGAGACTAGTTCGCGTAGAAACAGACAGACGGACAGACAGACGGACAGACGGACAGACGGACAGACGGACATGCTTATATCAACTCAGGAGGTGATCCTGATCAAGAATATATATACTTTATATGGTCGGAGATGTCTCCTTCACTGCGTTGCACACTTTTGACCAAAATTATAATACCCTCTGCAAGGGTATAAAAAGGGCCAGTCTTGTAAAAAGCCATTAACATGGGAAACGCATGTTAAATTTTCAATACGACATTTATATTTCAAATGTTGTTTAATCTTTCAAAGAAATGATAGATCAAAGACTCTCATTAAATTTTGACATAATTAGTATATATTACAGACACTAGAAATTGTTTAATTTATGGGTTGGGAAGCAAGCCTCCTCTTATTCTGGCATATAAATAGTGCACGTAAACTAAAGCAGATAAGACACTTATTTTAAAAATACCCTTATAATACCCTTGCTAATTAAGTGCTGCTTATCAACTATTTTCGCATCGTAATCTAAACTACTTTTCCATTAGGAATTGTATTCAACTTGGAGGTTTAGGTACTGAGTTTGTTTAGGGGCGCGTCTTTCTTGAATATTTTAGCTACAACCTATCCCCATATTTCATATAAATCCCTTGAAGAAACTGAAGCAATCTTATTTAGAAATCCTCCACTTCAGATAAGAACTTTTATCAACATTTGTCAGCTAGTAATACTTGTAAAAGCGACCATGTGCCCCAAATATATATATATGTTTTGAAGGGGATATGTGGCAAATATTTGCAAAAATTTTCCACTGCCATAAGAAGGTAAAAAGGGTCACCTTCGCAAATCACATATTATATGATATTATAGTGAACGTATAAATTAACATAAAGGCTACGGAAAATCTGTTATTTTTGTATTATAGCTGATAGAATCGACACTCCCACACAAGCAAATATAATGTGTATTATGTATGTATAAACAGAGGGACCGGCAAAATACAGCCGGCAAACTATCAGCAATTCAACGCGTGTCAATTTTTTTTGCCCCCCTTTTTTTAAGCATCAACGCAAAAAGAAATAAAAAAAAACGGGAAGTCGTGGGCAGCGGAAAACTACCCGATTATGGGGCCAACAAATGCAATTGCAAAAATTTACAAGTGCTTTTATTGCAGTTAGTTGTATTTTCTACTTACGCCCCAGGTTCCCAGACCAAGGAGTGGAATTTCCTGGCCGTTGTTGAATTTCACATTTGGTACTTTGGCAGCCATTTTAGACGCTATTGGCTCCTTCTGTTTAGTTGTCACGAATTTAAAATATTTAAAATACAACTTAGCACCTTTCGATGCTTCTATTTTACAAACTGAACTATTTAACCAGCTGATTGCCGCTTTTATACTGACCGAAAGCTTGTTCAAAATTCTGAAAAGCTTTTAAAAGCAGGGCTGCATTGTTGTTCAGGAAAAACAGCTGACCGATCGCTAGTTACATTTAAATTTGTTGAGTTTAATAAAATTTAACAAATAAATTTTTTAATTTAAGATAAAGAAGCAGACATGAACTTTTGTAAAAAAAAATAAATAAAATAGCTTAAGTGAACACATTGGACGATGTGGTTATAAAAAATAGATACTGAAATAATATTTACATTCCAAGTTCCGAGCCCAATTATAGGAATCTCATTTCCGTCCATTAAAACAACTTTGGCATTTCCAGCATACTCCTTCTGGCACCTAATAGTATTGGATTGCTTTCATAAAAAGTATCTTTTATCCGGATCCTGTATACATTACCACATAAACCGCTCGATTTTTCCATAATTTCTTAATGAGAAACGAAAAATGGGTCGAACCAGTTGAATTTTCAGTAAGGTATTCATTATTGTATAATTGTGAAGTAAATTTCTATTATTTTAATAACACTATTTGCAGGCTTTGACAATGCAATGGCTACTAAGTATTTCCATTTTTTCTAAATGAAAAATAGCAAAATAAAAGTGTATATAAAAACGAAAAGCCACATTTTCAAACATCTTTTGACAACCAATTTAAAAGTGACTTTCTTGCTTTTATTATGGAGGCTCCAACCTACTAATAGAACCCAAATAATAATTTATGACTTTACCACGGATAATAAAGATCATTTTTAAACAGTCTTAAAAGGACATTATTTTTAAAATAAGTATTTTCACCAAATAAGACATTACTAACAATAATTCTTGCTTGATTTCTTGATTTTTTTTTCCATCTTTTACGGAGGTAGATGCTTAAATGATTTTTTACCCTTAAGGTCACAACACTACATGCAAGAAAACCGATTAACAAAAAGACAATTTCCTGTTTTTTGTTAAGATCTTCAACACATTTTACACCGTCTCCGGGAAATTTATTTATATTGCCTGTACAGGCTCAAACGGATGATGGGGGTGTCCATATGCCCTAAAGAGTATAATAATATATCGTATATTAGATAAAAAAATCATTAGAGGAATAAAAAGTTGTTGTTAAAAACGAATTTGGAAAGAAACGAATAATGAATCTGTTAAAAATTCAAATTTTAAATATAACCAAGGTTCAGTTTCAATCTCTGCTAAAGAGTAACACTCACGCTTTCATGGTCATAAAACGACCATTACAGTCCAAATCATAAATAGCCTTGACATCGTCAATGGCCAGTCCAAAGTCCCAGATTCGCTTAAAGTTGTCCATCATGTGCTGTTTGCTGACGGATCGCGGGATCACAATGATTCCCGATTGTGTTTGATAGCGGAGGAGCACCTGGAGAACAGGGGGTGTTAGGCATTTGGCTTCGATTTGCTTATGTAGATATCATCACCTGTGCCGGTGTCCTTTCGTATTTCTCAGCTATAGACAGGATGGTCGGGTGCTGAAGCAGTGGATATGAACCTGGTTTTTCGTAGGGCGTGTGTCCTGATCCCAGACAGCTGTAAGCAGTCACAGCAATGGCATTATCATAGCACAGAGTAATCAATGGCTTCTGGCTCAAGTACGGGTGACACTCGATCTGCAGAACCACTGGCTTTAGCTTCGCCACACTCAGTAGCCGAGTGATCTGCTGCTCATTGAAGTTGGACACCCCGATGGCCTGGCATAGTCCTGTATCCACCAGATCCTCCATGGCCCGCCAGGTGTCCACATAGTCGATGTCCTCGAACACAGCTTTATTCGTATCTGGGCAAGTGGGATACAGATTATCGCCCGACTTGTAGGCCATGGGCCAGTGCATCAAGTAGAGATCCAGGTAGTCCACTCCCAGATTCCTCATGCTTGTTTCGCAGGCGGATCGCACCAACTCCGGTTTGTGGTGGGTGTTCCAGAGTTTGCTCGTAATAAACAGCGAATCGCTGGATAATATGAAATTAAGGATTTCAGTTAAACATGGACATTAAAGGACCTCTTACCGTGTTACCACGCCCTCTTCTATTTTCTCGCGAAGTGCAGCGCCCACCTGTGCCTCATTTCCGTATATATGGGCGCAATCAAAGTGGCGATATCCTATATCAATGGCATCCTTTACCGCTTGAGTGACGACCTCCGGGGGGCTCTAAAATAGGGGGAAGAACCGGAAAGAAAAGCTTTTGGATAACTTTTGAGAGCTTTGACATTGACCGTGAAATGAACATTGTAGTGCACATTTCGTTTGGCCGATTATTTAATAATATTCTATAGACATTTATATTTACCCGCCATGTTCCAAGACCAACCATTGGCATATTTTTTCCGTTACTTAAAAGAAAATTTGGCGTCGACATCTTCGATTTCTTAAACCGCTTATTCCTTCAGGACCTTGTAAAATATGGGAATGATACGATACTCGCTTGTTTTTTAAGCTTTAATTTGAAAATTACCGAGTGAACTAATCTCAAAAGCCTGTTAAAGTGGCTACAAAAAAAATAAATTTCTTGTGACAGCTATATATATGTAAATTGTTTAAATTTAGAAACTTTTGGGCAAGCAAAAGACCTTCGCAAAACATTATCGATTCGCCGCCTAGGAGATTTCACAAAGTGTTCAGCCGATTTCAATCAAAATATTAGCATGTAATTATATATTAAATTAATCATTACAAATGCTAACCATTATCTGGGAAATAAAAAATACATGTTTAAATCAGCTTATTTAGAAATTCAATTAAATATACCACTGCATTTGCGAAATATACAAAATGTTAAAATTGTCCTTATACAATTAATCACGTTTTCAATGTTAAATCGATGTGGAAACTAAATATAAAATTCCCGGGGTTTTAAATAAATATTGAGATGTTTATGCTTTATTTTCATTCTCAAGTATTTAAAATCTTTGTTCAAAAAGAAAATATATTGTAATTATCTAATAGAATTTTAAAACTAGTGGTAAATCGATATCGATAGTACCATTCATGGTTTGACGTTGCTATCGACGAATTGTCACCACTAAGACTGCCGCCTGCAAAAAAATCAAAACAATGTTTGGCACCGTAAATAACTATTTATCCGGCGTGCTGCACGCCGCCCAGGACTACGATGGCGAGGCACTGGGCACACACCTCTCGCTGCGCGACGTGCACGTGCAGAATCACAACCTGTATATCGCTCAGCCGGAGAAGCTGGTGGACCGATTCCTAAAGCCGCCACTGGACGAGGTGGTGTCCGCGCACCTAAAAGTGTTGTATCATTTGGCGCAGGAACCACCCGGTTATATGGAAGCCTACACGCAACAGGCGGCAGCCTGTGGAGCGGTGGTGCGCCTTCTGCAGCAGCTGAAGGATGAGAATTGGTGTCTGCCACTGATGTACCGCGTGTGTCTGGACCTCAGGTACCTAGCGCAGGCCTGCGAGAAGCACTGTCGGGGATTCACACCTGGCCATGTGCTGGAAAAGGCCGCCGATTGCATGATGGCCTGCTTCCGCGTTTGCGCCGCCGATGGACGCGCCTCCGAGGAGGACACCAAGCGACTGGGCATGATGAACCTGGTCAATCAGCTATTTAAGATCTACTTCCGCATCAATAAGCTGCATCTGTGCAAACCCCTCATCCGCGCCATTGACAACTGTGTCTTTAAGGACTCCTTTCCGCTGCCGGAGCAGATCACCTACAAATATTTCGTGGGCAGACGAGCCATGTTCGACTCAAATTATCAGGCTGCTGTGCAGGATCTCTCGTATGCGTTTAGCAACTGCCCGGATCGGTTCGCCAGCAACAAGCGGCTGATCCTGATCTACTTGGTGCCGGTCAAGATGCTGCTGGGTTACCTGCCCCGCAAGTCTCTCCTGCAGCGCTACGATCTTCTGCTCTTCCACGATCTTGCACTGGCTCTCAAGGCGGGCAATGTGAATCGCTTTGATGAGATTGTCAGGGATCAGGAGCTGGTGCTAATCCGGAGTGGAATCTATCTTTTGGTCGAGAAGCTTAAGTTCATCGTGTACCGGAATCTGTTCAAGAAGGTGTTTGCCATTCGTCAGACCCACCAGCTGGACATGGGCGACTTCCTCTCAGCGCTGCAGTTTGTCGGCTTGGCTGATGTTTCTCTGGACGAGACGCACTGCATCGTGGCCAATCTCATTTACGAAGGAAAGATCAAGGGCTACATCTCGCACGCCCACAACAAGCTGGTCGTGTCCAAGCAAAATCCTTTCCCCTCCATTTCCACCTAGTGCATTTGTTTGTGAATTTTTAAGAATAAAAGAATCGGTTTAAAATAGTGTTTTTCGGCTTAAGCTTGGATTAAACACTTGTTAGATATTTTGACTTTACGTTAACCGCTCGTGTCAGAAGTATACGATTTTGGAACAATTGTTTATGGCATACAAGAACCTTTTTTTTGGCCAGCCAGTTCTTCACAATAATAAAAACAATGCAAAGACATAAATTTCAATTTGTTATTCGTACAATTACAGATTAAATGATTAATTAACAAATTATAAGTTTAAGCTCTCATCTGTGCAGTCTTCTAGTATTCATCATTCTCGAAAGGGTGGTGGGGGTGACCGAGGTGGCTGTAAATAATAAAATTCAAAGTACATAAGTTCATTTTGTTCAAATACCTTATTTGAAAAGAAATTAAGACAATCGCAATGTAAATAACATATAATGAAATATCGTGGAAATCACAAACTTAAAGTTATTTTCTAGCATATAAATATGTTCTAATTGTTTAACTTAGCAAATAATAATTTTCAAAACACATGCAGGGGACGGTAAACTAATAAAAACCTAAGTAAACAAAGCTTAAATAAACAAAAACAATTCAAAGAAAAACACGTATGCGTCCGAAATTCGTTAGCCTCATGTTCATGTTTGTGTACATTTTTTTTGAAATAGCTTCATTTTGCAATAGGTATAATTTATTTTTTATAGGTATGCTTCTTCATAACTTCTTGCTTAGGAGATATCGATTTTTCTAAGCTCTCAATACTCGTCGTGAAATGGATAATAGTTATGGGTACCATGACTAAAATATAAATATATACAAATGTAAATATTTAATATAAACATAATCACTAAATAAATAAAATAAAGGTTAAATTTTATATAGAAGTCAACAAATTATTTAAAGAAATACATTTCCAAATTATGATTATAACCATGAATCCAAGTTTGAAAAATTACAACAATTATTTAGTAGGGTTCTGTAGACTTACTCAGGCCGGGCAAAAAGGCGACCGTTGCATTCGAAGCCCTCGATGGTTTTGATTTCCTCGGGTGTCAGCTCGAAGTCAAAGACCTGGAAGTTGGACTCGATGCGATCCTTGTTCACCGACTTGGGGATAACAATGTTGCCGATGTGCACCTGGTAACGAATGAGGATCTGTCCAGGTGTCTTGTTTTTCTTGGTAGCAATCTCCTTGATCTATAAGTTGAAGACATATTTTAGTCAAATTAAACTAGTCCATGTAATATTAAACATACCTTAGGCTCTTCTAGGATGACCGGGTCGCCAGCCTTGAACCATGGATGGTTGGGAGATCCCAAAGGACTGTAGGCTGTGATCGTAATATCCTTCGACTTGCAGAAATCGGTCAGTTTTTTCTGGTTCAGATATGGGTGGCACTCGACCTGGTTGGTTACCGGTGGGATTTTGGCCACCTCTAGCACGCGCTCAATCTGCCTCTTGTTGAAGTTCGAAACACCAATGGACTTGACCAACCCTTCCTCCACCAGCTTCTCCATGGCCTTCCACGTATCGACATAGTCTACTGATGAGTGCAGGGGCTTGCCGTCTTTATCGGTAGGGAACAGACCGTCGCCCTCTTTGAATCCAATGGGCGAGTGAATAAGGTACAGATCGAGGTACTTAAGCTTCAGTGCACTCAAAGTGCTCTGCAGAGCAGGCTTGACTAGACTCGGGCTATGGAAAGTGTTCCACAGCTTGCTGGTGATGAACAGATCCTCGCTGCAAGTAGGTGAAGTTTAATGCTACGCTCCGAAGAATTTCAAACAGAGTTTAGAACTTACCGCTTGACCACACCCTCCTTGATCTTGGCCTCAATGCCCTCTCCCACCTCATCCTCATTCTGGTAGACAAGCGCACAGTCGAGGTGCCTATATCCGGCATCAATGGCAATTTTCACAGCTTCGGTGACCTCACCCTTGGGGCTCTGAAAACAGAAACCATGTCATGTTGTTTCAATAAAATAAAATAAGATGAAAAATTTCCTCAGCAGCTCCAAATGAGTTTTAAACTTTTAATTTAAATGAATTACTAAAGGGGTGTACATCTTTAAAGGTCACTAATTGTAGTATCTGTATTATTGATAAGCGAGTTCGCACAATTATTGTAAAAACCAGACTATTAAAAATTCACTAATTGGCTTTCACACTTTTAAGGGTTAATAAATTATCTGCGTAGAATTTTTGCAAATAATTCTGTGAATAAGAAAGAAAGGTCTGGGCCTATAGAACATATTTGTCTCCACCATTCATAGGTAGGGCGCCGTGGAAAATTTGAAACTCAACGGAATTTCGCAATTCGTTGTCAGTAAGGTTTCAGTTATCTGACACTTGAAATACCTTATCAACTTTTATCAACATTTGTCAGCTTGTACTTGTAATATATTTATGTTTTGGAGGATATATCAAGAGGTGATGCGGCAAATTTTTGAAAAAAAGGGTCACCTCAAAATCGACACTCCCACAAAAACAAATATATTTATGTATGTATAAACACAATGACCGGCAAAATATAGCCGGTAAACTATTATTAATACAACGCATGTCAATTTTTTTATCGCCTATTTTTTTAAGGATCATCATACGAAAAACAAAACGGGAAGTCGTGGGCAGCGGAAAACTACCCAATTATGGGGCCAACAAATACAAATATATTTATGTATGTATAAACACAATGACCGGCAAAATATAGCCGGCAAACTATTATTAATACAGCGCGTGTCAATTTTTTTATCGCCTATTTTTTTAAGGATCATCATACGAAAAACAAAACGGGAAGTCGTGTGCAGCGGAAAACTACCCAATTGTGGGGCCAACAAAAACAAATATAATTATGTATGTATGTATAAACACAATGACCGGCAAAATATAGCCGGCAAACTATTATTAATACAACGCGTGTCAATTTTTTTATCGCCTATTTTTTTAGGGATCATCGCTAAAAGAAATACGAAAAACAAAACGGGAAGTCGTGTGCAGCGGAAAACTACCCAATTATGGGGCCAACAAATACAAATATAATTATGTATGTATAAACACAATGACCGGCAAAATATAGCCGGCAAACTATTATTAATACAACGCGTGTCAATTTTTTTATCGCCTATTTTTTTTAAGGATCATCGCAAAAAGAAATACGAAAAACAAGTTTTTATGCAGTTACTTTAATTTTCTACTTACGCCCCAGGTTCCCAGGCCAAGGATTGGAATTTCCTTGCCGTTGTTAAGTTTCACATTTGGTACTTTGGCAGCCATTTTAGACACTATTTGCTTGTTCTGTTTATTTGTTAAGGACTTAAAATTTGTTAAATACAACTGGGTAGCTCTCGATGGTTGCTTCTTGTTTACAAACTAAACTATTTAACCAGCTGATCGCCGCTTTTATACGCACCGAAAACTTCTCCACAGTTCTAAAAGCTTTCAAAAGCAGGTCTGCACTAGTGTTCAGGGAAGACACCTGACCGATCGCAAGTTATATCTAAATTTTTAAATTATACTTATTTTCAATCTGACCACTCGATTGCTCTTACACATTCCATATAATTAACCAATAAGGATAAAATATTATTGCTCTTCTCTTTTTAATAATTTAATTTGACTTACATCTTTTTTTCTCGACGAATTTCACCATAATGCGAAACACGATGGCCCTAACGCGACAAAAAACACTAAAATGTCGTAACGTGTTTTGATTGTCTGACTGTTTCCACTGTCGCATTTGTCATGGCTTTCACACCAGGGACAAGAATCGAAACTACGGTTTAAATATTAAACTACAGAGTATGGGCCAGTAATATTAAATTACTACTTTTGAGTATAGTTTTACTGATTTATACTGATTTTCTGTAAACTGTCTGTAGTGTTTTTTAAACCAGGAGTATTAGTTTTAAACTGAAAACATACAATTGTTAACTCTTCAGTATAGAATTGGAATTACAAAGTATTGACGTTACATTATTATAATTATATTATCTCGATAGTTTATTTTTAATACACGTTAATTAGAATTAAACTTTCTGTTTTTTTTTTGGGTGTATTTAAAAAAAAATCTTTTTATTTGGATTTGGATAAAAAATTTAACAAAATAAATTAAATTTTATTTCTTAAAACATATACCACTTATATTTTCTTCTGTTTTTGAAACTGTCTCTAATGTAATTATAAATAAGACCTAAACTAAATAGATTTTATTAAAATTTGTTTTTATAACAAAACGCATTTTTAAAAAGTATCTAAATTTAACATTTGCGGGGTTTTAAGGATACTAGGATTTTTAAAATACCTACAAAAAATATTTACATAATTTCCAATCACAAGTTTTTAAATGCTTTGCTTAAAATCAAGCTATATGGTTTACAATTAAATAAAAGAATTTAAAAACTAATAGTATTTCGATATCGATAGAAAGGATATCCATTGAAGGTTTGACATGCTATTGATGGACACTAAGACTGCCGATTAGCGGAGACACCACCGCCTATTGATAGATAGCGGAGACACACTCCACAGTTAGCTGGGATTAGGGATGGAAAATCATCGATGTCGCCCTGTAAAACATCGATATGTTTGGACATCGATGCTTCGCCACCTCTGTCTGAACTTTTGGGCAGCTGACAAAATTGTCGTAGTTGAGCGAAATTAAACAAATTAACAAGACTTCCGGCATTACCTGGTACGTGATGCAGGACCTAACTTGCGTAGTGTGCTCAATACACATATGTCAACAAATATCTTAAATTAAATTCAAACTTTTTCTCAGCCGGCGACGTGTTGTCATTTTGCTGTCGTAAAATCAATATTACTAATTTTGCTTTGAGTTTAAAACGTGACATAACTAATACGAGAAATACGGTGTTTGTTTAAATTGCAGAAACCCGCTGACACAGCAAAAACAAAGAAAGAACGACGGAAGCAACGCCAAGTCGCCAAATCGCAGAGTACCTGGAAAAGTGCGTCCCCAAAAGAGGCTAAACTAAACTAAAAAGCAGTCATGTCGGCACCGGTCATTGTCGAGGCCACGGTCAAGCAGACCGCCACGGTGAGTATATAAACTATAATAAACTATGTGAATCCAAACTAAACTATGTGTATATTCCAGCTGATCTTCATGCACGGCCTGGGAGACACGGGGTGAGTGGTGACTTGAGATACATCCGCATTCAAAATAAAAGCATTACATACTACCAAACACAAATATCTTCATTTGTATATAAATAGTTTAGAAGTCCGCGGAAATGTAATAACATCTTAAATTTAAATCTATTTTATTACGTGGTGCTTTTTTATGTTTCCATAGTGTAATATAATTGATAAAAAACCCTTAGAGAATTCCCGAAATCTTCAATTTAAATGAAGCACATTATTTAGGGTTCTACACATTCATATACATTTTTAAAAGATAAGAAGTCCTTTGAGAAGTCTCAAATTCTCCAAATTTATTACGTAGTGGCTTTGTATTTACGATTGTACAGATTCGCCAGAGAAGTAATAAATTCTTCAAGTCGATGTGATTTGCATTTATGGTTCCATTGGGTAAAATAATTGATTAGAACTCCTCGGAGAATTTAGCAATGTATTTTAAGTATGTAGGAATCTCCAGATTCATATTACAGATTAAAAGTCCACAGAGGGTTAAAGAATTCTTTAAGAAAACTCGAATTTATTGGAAATGAGTCCCAGCTGAAAATACATATGTTTATGCGACCATTAAAGATTGATTTGATTAATTAGATACCGCAAAGAAGTTTTCAAGTTATGTGGGATATAAATATTTAAAATTTGTTTTTTCGCCTTAGGTGCACATGTTTAATTAGAAGTCGAGATAAAACTTTACATTTTTCTTTATGTCTAAAATGAATTGAATGTAGTCCATTTATTTAATTATCATAATTTGCTGTTAAGATTGTCAGTTTTACCCAAAATAATATGTGTAAGTTTTGGATTACAAGATTATAAATAGTATATCTGAACATTTTTTTTGGGAATTTATTTCACCTTAAGTTAAATGTAAGATTCACTTTAAAAAGATTTGATTCCATTTTATTTGTTATTCTATTCTCTTTACACACTAGTGCCATTTCATTGAACTTAAATGACTATATTAATGGATAATTTCTCTTACAGTCATAGCTGGAGCTCCGCCTTGGCCGCCATTCGGCCACCTTTCATGAAGATCATCTGCCCCACGGCGCCCACACAGCCCGTTTCATTGAACGCCGGCTTCCGGATGCCCTCGTGGTTCGATCTGATGACCCTGGATATCGGTGGGCCCGAGGACGAGCCGGGCATAAAGTCGGCCCGCGACAGTGTGCACGGTATGATAGAGAAGGAGATTAGTGCCGGCATCCCGGCGGATCGGATTGTCCTGGGCGGATTCTCGCAGGGCGGAGCACTGGCGCTGTACTCGGCACTGACGTACAACCAGTCACTGGCCGGCGTGGTGGCCCTGTCCTGCTGGCTGCCGCTGCACAAGCAGTTCCCCGGCGCCAAGGTGACCGGTGAGGATGTGCCGATCTTCCAGGCACACGGCGACTACGATCCCGTGGTGCCGTACAAATTCGGGCAGCTGAGCGCCAGTTTGCTCAAGTCGTTCATGAAGAATGTGACGTTCAAGACGTACAATGGACTGTCGCACTCGTCGTCAGAAGACGAAATGGATGACGTCAAGGTGAGTGGGGCGCACTGAGCGTCATTTGGAACTCCCCTGTCAAACGAAACGCTAAAGAACTTCATTACGCTCATTATGCTCTTCTCGATTACAGGACATAATCAGTAAATGGGTAAACTAATTTCCACTGAACCTTAGCACTCTTAGAACGTACGAAAGCCCCCGACCCAGCCCGTTGCATTCCAGCGATCACGAAATACGGAGCAGCTGAACATGATTAAAGCGTATTTTATGAAAATCAAAGCGCAGTAAGAGAGTCACACTGAGAGTTATACGAGTAGGCTCTCTCGTAGCCCAATTATGGAAATTATCACTGAAAATCAATTCAAAAAAGCAATCAATTATACACACGTAGCTACACCTAATGAAAAATGCCAAAACACAAGCAATTTGTGAGGAAAATTCGCCACCGCGAGACGAATCACTTTGATATTTGTTCGCTGCTAATTATTTCGGTTTACTTATTTGGGACTTGTTCGTATTTAAATTGAAATTAATAAAGTTATATAACCCCAGAAAAAAAAAAAGAAACTGGAAGCCGCAATATAAATTGGATCACTGACTGTTTCAACCAAAAACCCGATTGCCAGGGAATTAGTATTGCCATTTAACTGGCAATCGGGTGCAATTTCAGATATTTCGAGCGACCAAACTCTACTAAACATTTGTTTTTATTCATTGTAGCTAACATAAACTCTGATAATATACCCATTTTGATTTGATTCTTTGTTTCTTATTTTATTTTATTTCGCACAGCAACAGAAAAACAATCATCTTTAGAGCCGCGGGTCCACTGGCTAGAGTTTGAAATTTGCATCCTTCACTTGTTAAACCAATGGCAATAAACAAACCGGTTGTTCAGATTAAATGGCTCCCCTGGGCACTCCGATATAAACTCTCTCAGACTCCCTATAAACACAACTTATTCACCTGCTAAGCCTAAGCCCTTGTCCTGCCGCACCACTCACCATCTCTCATCTATATATTTGCAGACACATTGGGAACAGAGCCAGAACATGGCTAGAAAGGCGCAATGCTGCCAGATATCATAGTAGCATCCAATGCTAGTGTAGTGAAGGTTCCTTCCGCAAATCAAAGCTCCTCAGCCTAGTCAGGACGTCTCGGGCCGCACGAGAATTGTATTTTAGTAATTATTTTGTATATACACACGATGGACGATGGTTACCATGAAAAAGGCTGTCCTATCACCTGGTGAAGTGACAAGAAACTGATTCGCCAAAGCGAATGGCCAATAAAGTTATTTGAAGCTCTCAACTGCAAGAACTTAATCGTAAAAGGGGCCTTCATGTCACTTAACCCAATGAAGGTAAATTTCATTTTCAAATTAGTCAAAGTAACGGTCGTTTTCTTTTCAAATTTGTAACCAGTGCTGAACAGCGTGTCATTAGTGCATTATGTCAATTTACGGTATATTTTGTAAGCCTTGGTATATTTCACCTGAAAGCTCTGGCTTTGCAAAGCTTTTTTATCGATAAATAAGGCGCGGCTTTGAAACGAATTGAACTTAACTGAGGCAATACTGCAGATATAGTTTTATCAATTATTATAATATTCTTGTTTTTTTTAAAGAATCGATAATTTAAGCTTATAAAATATGACAATATTTTTTAAATGGAAAAATATTTTATGTAGTTTTCATAATTTTAAAAAGTACATAAATCTTGTTAAATTCAAATCAAATTTTAGTTTTTATTTCATTTATATGTTATATGAATGCCGAAATAATCTTATTGTAATGTAGGAACCGATGATATATTCCTTCATTTACAGGAAGTCTACTTATTTCGATTATGATTCAAGATATCAAAAGTTGCTTTTGACAATAAAATATTGTTCGTACGTAAAAACTTTTAGATTCTAGAAAACAAAATGAAGGTGTCGTTTAAATTCTTTATGTTTATTCTTATTTATATTTAAATGTTATTGAAGCCTCAAAATATGCTAATTTACTGGTCCAATGACGTACATATATCTAAAATCCCTCTCCGTATTGCGACTAACCATTTGTATTTGGGGAACAAGTTGGACTGCGACTTCAAGTACCGACTAAGCGTCAGTTGTTTTCAAGTCGCCGGCGAGAGTGGACGCGAATTCGCCAGTATCGCTATTAAATAGTATATAGTATATAGTTTTCCTCGTCCTCCGCTAATTCCAGTTCAATTCGCGTGCAATTTTTAAAAAGCATTACACAACCAAATCCATTGTAAGAAGTGAACATTAAAAATCAATGTTATCTAATCAATCTGCAGTACATATGCCAATCAAATTGATTTTAGTGAACAAGGTGATTTTGTTTGAGGTTTTGGCAGGAGTGCCTTTTGTTTCGAACAGTTGTGTGCAAAAATGCTACAAGTAAATTTTTTCAATAGAGAACGAAATGCTTTAATCTAAATGCACATGTTCTGGAAGGAAGCTATTGTAAATTAATATAATATCCGACTTTGTACCTTATCTTTAAACATGTGGAGAACTTGCATTGCAATAATGCTCGAATTCTAAAAGCTGATTATGATTTAATTTTTATTGTTTCTTGAAAAGAAATATAAAAACTTTTTAAATAGGTTTCTTTCAAAAAAATGTAATCCCAGCTTTAATTGATCGTCTACGCTGCCAAAGCTTCAGTTTAAAATGCTTGTCATTATATATTAACTATTATAAAATAGCATCAGTCACATGCAAATTTCTTAGCTTGGTAAAATGGGTATGCATATGTTATAGGGATTAAACAAAATTTTAACAAAGAAAGCTGTTTTATTTATTTTCTGTCACTGACCTATGACTCCAATGAGTAATTAAACAGGTGATTAACCAATTTGCTGAATTTTTTTATTGTTGATTGTTGAGTGATATGGATTGCCGTTCTACGTGATGTGGTTACAATCCAATAATAATTGTTGTGAATTATAATGCATCACCATTAATTGGCTGAAAGATTTGCTTACAACTGGTTTCATATGTGTATTTGGGCATATAAATATATTGTGCAAAATAATAAAAATAATACATTTCTAAAGATTTTTTTTTTAATTGTATTACTTTATTGACTTTAATTAATTGCTTTAAATTTAAATTTATTATTTTATTCCTTCTATATATTTCGGGGATCTCTGCAGTTAACAAATGACTGTTTTAAAAGTTTGAGAAATTGAAAAATTATTTTAAAGTTATTTGCTTGTATAAAATTGCTGGTTTGTTGGTTTCCTCGAGACCTCTGTATTAGCTAATTTGTATGTATGCTAAACGAGTTGCCGGGGGTCAATAGTCTAGCTAAGTCGATGTGCTTCTGTTGCCACCTGACGTCACAAAATACACCAAACAGAATAAAATATAAATCTGACAGTCGACGTGAAATAAACATAAGTTGAGCTGAGTGTAGATTGGCATTGGCATGCATATTTAAGCTTTCAATTATCCAATCTTCTATCACCACATTGTTTATTTCCTGGTTTTAAATTAGTGTTCCATCGGATGCACTTTTCCCCTTTTGTTTCGCATTGTATCCCGTAGAATTTAATGTGAACTGTGGTCTCAAAAGGGTTCTTTTTTCAGAAACCAGAACGGGTTTCTGGTTTTGCATTTAGCCTGTCGGCGCCAGTTAATGTCGAATAATCCGACGGCGCCAAAAAAAAATAAAGTAAATATGACAAAAACAATTTAATTTTGCCGACAAATATCGGCGAATTCTTAGTTTATTATTGACGGTTTACCTGCCAGGCAAGAGCAGATCATTAAGCTTTTGGAATGTTTTGAATATTTAATACACAACTATTAATTTACATTTTTATCAGATAAATTATTCCCTGACAGACATTATAAAATTGATGTACTGATGCTTCTGAACTCTGAGATTGTTAATAGAATTAAATAGTATTTTTTTGCAAACTGAAAGTAATTGTTTAATTTAATCTCTTGCGGGGGAAGGTGAATCGCAGCTGTGAAAACGTGATAAATCTGCGATATTAACAGAGCTCCACCCCAAAGCGAAATGTTCGTGATCCGCCTGTCACTTTTCTCAGTGGTATCGTTGATCTAGACTCGTTAGTTGTTGATCATAATAATACACTTTAACTATATACATACTATAAATTATACTTGTTATCTAAATTTATGTAATTTGAAAGGAAAGCGGGATTTTCCTTGAATTCAGACTGGTACATTAAAGATTAAATTTCAGCTATTTACTTTGGGTACCACATATTATTATTATTTAATAACAAAAACATATAAACTCAAGGACCTCATCATTTTTTTTATGATAACCATATGTTTATTAAAGTGTAATCTAAATACATACAGTGGCATATGTAAACAAATGTTTAGCTGGAATTAAGCCAGTCCTGTTTATATATTTGCGCTCTGAACACTATCAGTCAATCAAAAAGATAGACAAAATGGACTGCATTTTATTTTAAAAGAAATTATGTACAATCCATGCAAGCCATTATTAATTTTATTTATTAAAATTCAAATTTATGGCAGTAAAAATTAAACATAAAACATTTTTAGATTTTTTTAAGTTAAAAGTAAATGGAAAGGAAAGCTTTTCTAAGATATATATTTGCTAATTTTATCTAAAATACTTTTGAGGTAATTGGGTTAACTTCCGTTTTAAGATTGTAGCTGTAAAACATTTACATACGGAGTATTAAGACACAAACTTATTCATTAAATGTCAGTATCCTCTATACTTACAGTTCTAACTAAATAACGAGTTTTTCTTGTCGTTTGGCATTGCTTATCGATCAAGGTGATGGACTTCATCGGTAATTGGAGAACTTGAACTTGAAAAAGATCAAGCTCACTATAGTAGTTTAAGACCAAAACCGCTATTGATATTCAATGAAGGGGGGTATAAAAAATTTTATAATTTATAAATGTAAACTACATTTATTAAAGTTTTTTAAAGTGAATTTGAGATTATAGATAGCTGACCCCAATATTTTTGTTTTCATAAGGCATTGGGGTTAAAAGAAAGTATCAATAAAGTATGACTAATTCGATGGGTACGTAAAAATTAAAAACAATTGTACAAACACATATGTATGCAGTTAGATCGAACTCAAAAACCTTTATCAGGTTGCCGTTGAGGTGTGAAATTCAAGGCCACCTTAAATGTTGATAAGTGGTATTTATTTTTGGTTTGTTTAAAATCGCCACGCTTCTTCTCCCACGCATGTCAAAATATCTATAATGATTAATTTTTATTTGCAGCGCGTAAGACGGCAGTGCGATCAAAACAAAACGGGTAATAAATCAGCAATCACACGAGCGAGCATGCGTGCATAAAAAGGAACAATAACAAAATCAAAAGCCACCAGCAAAAACAGAATCAAAATCAGAAAGACAACAATAACAATCGCAGCGCTGGCAAAAGTGTATAAAAAAGTGTACAAAATATAAATAAATATAAACCGCGCGGCAGCAAAGAGATCCAGCACCCATTCCCATTCCAATTCCGACTTTGGTGCGGTAGGTAATGACACATTCGGCAACCGGTGCACGTATCTAGATGCGAACGAGCATACATAGATACATTCGTATCTGAATCCGTCAGTGAAAATCCCGTCACACTCGCCCCACCTTGCCACCCGCGTCGTTCATTAATATATGAGTTTTTGAAAGCGGCATTAAATAGCAATAAACAAATCAGTCGAAATTCGCCATGGAGCAGTCGCAAAACCTTCTCGCCAAACAGTCCAAAGATGTGGAGTTTCAAGATGTTTTCTACACCGTTAAACAGCGCCAGAACTTCTGTAAGTAATACGATCTTTTAACTTATGTGTATTTAATTGATCTTTAGATAAGTTATCTAATGAATTATTCAAGTAGAAATACTACTTAAATCACTTTGTTGCCCCTTTAAGAACTGTCTTATTTATTAGATTAAATTAATCACACTTGATGAACTGAATTAATGCAAATCTGACAGCTACCTTTCATCAGGTTAATTTATTTTCCTTTGCTAAGACCTACAACGGGTTTAGCTATTATTCTCTTGGTTTAATACTTTTTCATAAACTATTTTCTTGAAATTAAATGAAATGTTGTAAGACCTTAGCTAATTTAAGTGCCCCTAACTTTCAGTCACATTTGCTTTCCGCTTTATGAACTTAGATTTTAACTTGTTAGTTAAGTACAATAGCAGTTTAGAGCGCATTTAATTTAATAGGTTAATTCATAATTTATTCACTTGTTAGTTAATCACAGTAGCAATTTGAGTATATTTAGTTCAAAGGGTTAATTCATAATTAAACTTAACAAATAAAAGAGTTAATATGTTATAACGAAACAAGTCCCTCATGAGTGCATTGCCCAATGACTGCAAAACGTTAAGCATTTGTATGAAATGTGTTTTTCGGTTGCAGAGGTTTTTGTTTGTACTCAAGCCCATCAGAGTTGACTTGGTTTTATGTGCTGTGCTTAATGTTTTCTTTGACGAAGGAGGTAAATATCTTTTGCAATGGTCAAGTAGTTGTCTGGCCACCACCTGCCTTGCTCTTTTTTTGACCTTTTCCTTGCCTCTATTTCTAATGTACATTGCACAACTTGATACATTTGTTTTATTCGAAATTAAATTCGACAACACTTGACTGAAATGGCGTACGTTCTGGGCCACGTTTATGGTCACAACCCTTGGTGTTTTTGCCAAACTTGTTTTCCCACCCGGACAACGTTTTCCTTGTTTGGGCGAAAGTTCAAACTCGAGTGCCATTGACACAGAACCGAATGGATTGGATAATATAATGCATTTGGCAGAGCGTCAAGTTCATTCAGTTGGTGAGCAGTTGATTGAACCGAATGAATGAAATTTAAACTGCCATTTGCCGGAATTGGATCACTTCAAATGGAATATAAATGGAACAACCATAACCTAATATCTAATTGACAATTTCTTGATTAAGGAAAACATTCATTTGAATATGGTATATTATTTTCCTCAGAAAAGTATATATTCATTTTTAAGGTATAAGGAAAATTTATCAACTCTGTTTTAACTCACAAAGAACATTTATTTAATTTGAGTTCCAAAAACAATTTAATGAAGTGAGAATCAGGGTTCTACCTTTTTTTTAAATTTTATTAGAGTACTTTACTCGCACCAACTAGCTGTCATGCTTCTGTATTTATTTGTTTCTATTTTGTATTGATTAAAAATGCAATCTATCTTAAAATTTAATCTAATTTATTCCACATCCAAAATGAATATAGATGAGATCTTAGAACAGTGAAGGGACTCTATAAAGTATATATAAATTATCAAACTGTCAAGCTACTGAATAGCTAACACGCAATAAATATTATTAAAATCGGCAATAATATAATCAAAAATCTAGAAAGTAATCTGTGATATTTGCACATACCTCACCTCATACCTTGAAAATTGTCGTGCGATTTCAATTAAAATTTCAATTTTAATCTACATCCATTGTAATGGCTTAGAGGCATTTTCATTCAATCTGTGCAATCTATTGACTTCATGAGGTGTTTAATTGACTGTATTTGGCATGGATTTGACAGAAGGGGAAATGCTTGTGAGACTACTCACCAATAACTTACTTTTTGCTGTTGGCGGCTACATGCAACTTAAAGTTGTGCTTCCTCATTGCAGAGTCAAACTCAAGTACGACTGGTGATTAATTATTGCTCATACGCCATGTGCAACGTGCAACTCGCAACCAACAGCGAGATGTCGCCAAATGCCGTCGCCTTGTGGAATATAATAATGAACGATAAACATGAGAATGCATAAAAACAGTGTTTGTCAGATATGTTAGGCATTTCGAAATATATATTTTTTTTCATTTTGTTGAAATCAAATTTATTTAATTTTAATACCAAAACCACCAATCAAATTAATTGTCTATATAAAATAACTGTTTTAACAACGTATATTTTAGAATGGGAAAAATATGCTTGACTTTTAAGAACTATTTTCATTAAAATACTAAAAAACTTAAAAAAACATTTTTGGAAGAATTTAGGTAGTTTATCTAAGTTGCTGCATTAGGTCAAGTAAACGTTGGGTTTTCTAGGGAACCACGGTACTATAACTCACTGTACAAGTAAATATGCAGCATGTGAGCTTAATATTTTGTGCACACACTTATCTCCGCACATATGTCCATACATTTACACATCGTAGATACATTGCCACTTCCTCGATGTACCCCGCATCTATGGAAACTACAGTAGATGGCTGTTCACTACAGACCGCGACAAAAACATCAACAACCTCATCATTTCCATCAACCCCTTCATCATCATCATTATCATCATGATCGGCAACAATTGCAGCTACAACAGCAAACATTATGTTGGCGCACAGTGAAAAGCGAAAATTGCCCAACATTGATTGAATAATTTTCCCCTCCAAAAGTCGCCATCGTTTTCATAGAGCTCGAACACGTTTTTTTTTAGTGTTCCGCGACTCAGTGCCCGCTTTTCCATTTCAAGTACCCAGGGCAATTTAGGATTAGTCAGCGAGTCAATGTCCGGGTTGATTCATTCAAAGGGGTTCAGTTTGACTATTGGGATGGAAATGAAATGGAATGCATCTCTACTTTGTACTTTAATTGGGGATCACTACTCGAGCTATTTAGATAGGTGTTTGGATAATAAGTTTGGAAAAAATCATTGGAGGTTCTCATACATAAATATAGATACATATTCAAATATATATAAATCTCAGAAACAAATAGATTTAGTTTTCACTACAGACTTTCATGTGTATACGGATATTGAAGTTGAATAGTTAGCCAATTGACTTTATTTAGATCTCGTCATACTATTAAATAATATGTGAAAATTGCAACCTTTAAACCCGTTTAATATAAACCCAAGACACTTTGTGCATCTCAAATAACTCCGCCTTGTTATTTATTCTAAGCATTATTATCTGAGACCCATTATATAACTTGAATGATTCAGAAGGGCTCGGTGAGCTTCATAACAGATCAAAGATCACAGAATCAAGGGAATAAGGCAGATCCCATTTTAATTGTTGGGTGGGAGTGCTGTATAATAAGTCGCATTTATCGACCCAAACGCCATTGTCATTCTAATGAAATCGTGGTAATTAGGTAGAGCCGATTCAATTGCATCTATTAACGAACTCGTTCCAGGGAGCACTGCCCTCATCTCCCCATTTTAGTGACTCAACCAACGATCTTTCTAAAATTCAGAGATTCGTTCTGCCAATTAATGTGATGTGTTTGTTTGAGGCGCAGTTTCGATTATGGCCTGAATGAAAATCTGAAATTAACATTCAAATTCGGAACATTCTTAAGCTGATAGTAGAAAAAAGGTGTTCCCAATATTTATTTGTGTGGTATAGAACGTAAATCTTTACAGATAATATGGATAAATGAATGTCAAACTTAATTTTCATATCTTTAATTTACAAAAATCCAAATTTAATAGCTCTCATATTAAGCACGTGAAAGCAATGATGCATATATAAACACTTGGTAATGCCTGATATATTTTGACGAAAATTAAAAATCAGTTTGGCAAATAGTAAGAGAAAATGTTAATATGACAATCGAAGTTTGAAAGTAACTTGATTTTATCTTGATGCAATAGTGCTATCTCCAAATATATTTTTAAAATAAGCCACAAATAGGTAAATATAGATGTATAAAATATTGTGACTCTGCAATATTTTGAAGCAATGGAAATAATCTCGTTACAATGAATCGGCTTCTGTAGTCTGAAACCAGCAAATCGGCTTCCCGTATTTTCTTCTGATATTTTTTCAGCAAATTGTCACGCCTCATTATGTGACTCACGTAGAATCGTGGGAGCAGCGGTTTACAATGTTTGAGGGGGGCCAGCGGTCTAAAAAAAATCAGCCAAGCCAACGTACTGTTGATTGTTCGATTTTATGCTGACAATTTATTTTTGGTTTTGGCCGTTGCGCGTGCTTAGAACGTGGTGTTGACCAGAAAACTTAAAAGGCGTGCTCGAACGGCACCGGTTAATTGATATGGGGCTAATTGATATGGAGACTGGTCGCTGGTAAACACACTCTGATAATAGGATTTGCGGCAGACTCCGACTTGTGAGTGACCTTCTTACATTCTTAAGTTGGTTCGCAAACGGCGCTATTCGGATTCGTAGGGAATGTTAATTGGCGACGAGAACTGGGTCATATATTGGCAGGCAAAGCTATATGCTGACCCAGTTGTCATTTACATAAATTCAATATTCAGGAAAGCCCAAGAATTACCCTATTGATAATTGAAATTTACAGAAATCAAGATCCTTTTGCTTTAAATACATTGTATATAACACCACAGCTGGGGAAAACATTGTTGCAGTTAGAATAATTATATTTTAAAAGCAAGTTGCAGTTCAATTAATGATGTAATGATATATATTTTAATAGCTTATCAGCATTAATATATTGTATTACAAAATTTATATTTAAATACCTTATCAACATTAATTCTTGTGGTAAAGAACAAGCCAAGGAAACAGCAATAAAAAGTAAACCCCCTGAATAAATTATTAAGCGAGTCATTACGACCTTCAGTGATACCCTATAGTATAGTACAACTGCACCACTGATAAGAACTGTGATGACATTGGCACATATTAACTCAATCGTGCATTAAGACTGACGGATGATGACAAATGCAGGTCAGTAATCGCTGGGAAAGTACGGAAAAATATACCAGAACTATTAGACCACATAGATTGGCCTTTTTGAATTATTCTCCGATTATGAATTTTTCCACACTCCAGCCAAATTTAAATTAGAATAAATAATGAACGTGCGGACACGTATAATTTAGGGTTTAATGTAAGCCAGACAGGGCGGAAGCTGGTTTCACATTTGCCAGTCATGCAATCTTTTCAAGCCCATCATTTGTCATCTACGGAATCTTTCCGCTTCCATTCCATGACACGATAATTATAAACATGTTGGACTGTGATATATATTTACCTTATCCCGTATTCTGAGCTTTGCATATACGCATACCCCAATCAATGAAAGTGAATTAATTTTTACCATTCACATTATTGGGTCATTAAAAAATGAAACTTGATTTCTTTTAATTTATTCCATTTCACATCTTCATTATGTTAACGTCTACGTTTTTAGCAAATCCATCCAGATTAACCAGAAAAGTAAATTTTCATACGTATTAAATAGAATAGATTTAAAACCAGATGGTGATGTCTTCTGACTCACTTGCATGTTATAAATTTTATACATTTGTTATTATTTTCAAAAATATGGCTTTTATAGTCAGAGCATAACCACTTTAATTAATTAATAAAAAAGATATTTTAATAATTTAATAATTGATTTTATAATTTATTTGTAGGGCGCGTAACCGGAGAGCGTCAAATTCTGAACGGAGTAAGCGGCAGTTTCCGGAATGGACAACTCTCGGCCATCATGGGACCCTCGGGAGCAGGAAAAAGCAGTTTGCTAAATGCGATTTCGGGTTTCAGGTGAGAATAATAAGTCAAACCAGACACGACTGCACTCGACGGTATGTTCTAAAAGTCATTCCTCAAAAAGTGTAATAAAACAAAGGCTATATCATTTTGGGAGCCATAACCGAACCGGTTGTATGTTTAACAGACTGGTGATTAAAGCCAAGTTCTTGCTGACTTGATTCCGAGTCAAAAGCGAAATGTCAGCTGTGATCTGAAGGGTTTGGGGGGCTCAGACGAACAAACTAACGTCTCCAGTAATCTGATGCCATTCTGGATCAAAACAACCTTCTCATTCAAAATAAATGTCTAGATGTGATTTGTACATATGGTTCTTCAAAATGAAGTGGAAACTTTCAGATTTAAATAGGGTTCCATAATCTGCGAAGTCACGAAGCTACGCTGTAGAAATACTTGTGTTGATAAGGTCGACTAGGTTGGGTTTGGATATTTAAAAGATTTGCTGGTAGCCAAATGAAATTATTATTCAGAACCCAAAAGGGAAGGAAAAAAACAAATATATAAAATAATAAATAATAAAGAAACTCATTTAGAAATCACTTTTTTTTGCCACAAATATTCTGTCAAATGTTGGAAGTTTTCCAAAAAGAAAGAAGTCATTTTAATCATCTAAAAATTACAATAATTGTTCAATTGCAAATAATTAATTTCTGCATTCCCATTGATGTCTCTTTAATGATCTAATAATTGTGAAAAAATTTCTTGCTTGTAAGGTGAAATATAGAAATATTTATTAATTATCATCTGACTTCCAATACATTTTAGACGCGACGGAGTCACGGGGAGCATAAAGATAAAGAGGGACAACGCCTGCTATATTACGCAGGACGATCACCACCAGACTCTGCTTACGGTGGAGGAGCTAATGAATCTGGCCTGTGACCTCAAGCTGAAGCATCGCCACAAAAAGGCGGAGATCATGACGGACATCCTGGAGAACCTGCACCTGAACCACCGACGCAATGTGACGGCGGAAAAGCTAAGCGGCGGGGAGCGCAAACGATTGTCCATCGCCTTGGAACTGGTGGACAATCCGAACATCTTCTTCCTGGACGAGCCCACCAGTGGCCTGGACGAGGTGACGGCGGCCCAGTGCATCCGACTGCTGCAGGCAATGGCCTACGAGGGTCGCACCATCGTGTGCACCATCCACCAACCCTCGGCGACCATCTACAACTACTTCGACAGCATCTACGTCCTGGCAAAGGGCCACTGCGTCTACCAGGGCAGTCCCCGTGCCACCATTCCCTTCCTGCGACTGGCCCAGATCGACTGTCCCAGACACTACAGTCCCTCGGATTACAGTGAGTTGTGGCATTTAAGCTATTTATAAATATTAAAAGGCATTCATATCGATTACACTTGACTAAAATGTTCATATAGTAAACCAATTAATATGTTTTTCTTTACCTCTCCTAGTCATTTAGAGTATTAAAATTTTCATTTTATTTTTTTATAGATTCAAAATTACCATTTAGATAGATATAGGTTCATTTATTGTACAAGCTAAAATAAGTACATTGTTTTACCAAACAGTTTCACTAAGCAAAGTAAGATTCCGTTTCTCGTTATTTAAAGCTCAAATTATGTAAAAATTGTGTTATATTTTTTGATTGTTTATAGAATAATTAAAGCATAAAAGTTGTTAAAGACTATTTATAAATTGAAGTAAGCTAATCCTATGAACATTTGCAATTTAATTAGATTTTATTTCCAACTCTTAAAACCTTTTGCAGTTATTGAGCTTGTGGATGCCGAGGATGGCCACCTGGTGCCTGCTTTGAGTGACCTGACCGAAAACGGCAAGCTGATCTATGTGGCCAGTCAGTCGGATCAGTTGGGAGCATCGCTGGCATCTCAACAGGCTGTCACCACCATGTTCGTGGAGCAGCAGAAGCGTCCCTTTCTGCCAGCCTTTTTCGCCGGCAGTGCCGCCTCCACGGATGGATCGCTAATTGGAGGCACCAGTGCTCTGTTGGAGCAGGTGAAGGCCTTCTCAAGACGTCTCCATACGGATCGGCGGGAGGTATCCGGAGTGCGACAGTTCGTGGTCCTTATGCGGGTAATGCTGCTGCGGATAACGCGGGCACGTTTGGCCCTGACCATTCAACTGTTCCACCACCTGTTGTGCGGTGTGTTCTTTGGCCTGATATTCTTCCAACTGGGCAACCAAGGTGCCCGCATGTTCGACCATCTCAAATTCTGCATTGGTGCCGTCCTCATGATTGTCTACACCCAGGTGATGGTGCCCATTTTAAGTTGTAAGTAGAAGTTGAAGTCCTTTCTTGGTGTATTCTCTTTACCCATATTTGTTGTACTTCAGATCCTGCCGAGGTGAAGGTGGTCAAGAAGGAGACCTTCAACCGTTGGTATACTCTAACACCGTACTACTTGGCCTTGACGGTGTCGCGTCTGCCACTTCAGGTCCTCTTAAACATCACCTTTATGGCAGTCACCTACTGGATGTCCGGTTTGCCCCAACAGTTTTGGCGCTTTTGCATTTTTGTGGCTGTGGGTCTGATGATTTCCCTGGTGGCCGAGGGAATGGGTCTGGCCATTGGTGCCACTTTTAGCATAACGGTGAGTTTTTAAGTCCTACTCTGATCTCGAATAGTCATTAAATATTTTAACAAAATCTGTAATGTAGCTACCCACTGAACATATGAGTATAGATATACCACTACATTTTAGGCAATTCATTTTTCATTTATTTAGACGTTTTTTGTAATTATTTACGAGCTACATACTTTAAATCATATCTTATCTTATTATCAGGTACGATCTGATTTATTTTAATAAATTTAAAAAAAGTATAATGAAAACAAAACTTAATATCGAAGGAAAATTGTAAAAACATTTAAACCGCATTTTACCAATCGAAGAATTAAAAACAGTTTCTTAAGACCAAAAATGTGGGATTTAAATTGATTAATAATTCTTAGCTTAAAATGAATCAGTCTTTTGTAACGATTTTCACATTTTCTGAGCCGTATGGTATTTTTTTAAATTAGGTAAAAATAAGCTGGGGTATACTTTTCGGCAAAAACAAAATTATTTATTTTTTCTCATTGTAGAATGGCAGTGTTGTGGGTCCAATGCTGATAGCACCTCTAATGGGACTTGCAGTCTACGGATTCGACTTTGCGCCGCAGATCTCCGGCGGAATGCAGCTTCTGATGAAATTCAGCTACGTGCGAGTGGGCGTGGTTTCTCTCATCTTAGCCGTATTTGGATTCCACCGAGAGGAGCTTGACTGCGATGATATATACTGTCATTTTAGCGATCCTCGCGTACTGCTCAAATTTTTAGACGTGGAGAAGGTCTCGATGCTGCACCAGTTTGGAATACTGGCCATGCTGATGATCTTCTTCCGAGTTATGATGTACATTAGCCTGCGAAAGCGATGCTATGCCTGATTTTGAGACCAATACTCCACATGAATCTTTCTCCCTAGTTATAACCAATGTCAATACTGTGATGTTCGATTTTAAACAGACAGATAGATACTCCCTGTACATATGTACATATGGACCATTCCTGACAGCACAAATGTTAATGTAGGCTTAAGATAGATTTAAGTTAGGACGCGGTTCACATGAAAAGACATTTTAAAAATTCTGCAAACATCGGATATAGTGATAATAGTAGTATACTGAAAACCTTTCGAGTGTACAACTTTTTAGTATTCAAAGTTTTGTATTTAAAAATTGTGTGTCAACTAAAAAGGCCTCAGTTCAGCTTTCTTTATGGTTTGTAGAAAGCAGGTCGGCATATTTAATACAGTTTTCGCGCTTAAGACCTGAATTGTACATAAAAAAATAAAGATTATGTGTTTGCTTTTCAATATCTATTTTCAAGTTCTGAAAGTTTCTCACCGCCAAACATTTAACTCGCGTATCATATGATTTTCTTATAAAGTATTATTCCGAATGGCGTTAAGGAGTTCGTAATACTTGTACTTTCGCCACATCACCCTGTCTGATGCAGGTTGCAGCATGGAAGTTATGCTGGAGGTCGCCGAGGAAGGCAGCTTATTTTGCAAAAGGCTATTTAGCGCCGCAAGTTCGACATTGCTGGTCACCGAATTGATGAACGGATTGAGAATCGACTTGAGCTCGTTGTTAGAGAATCTGAAAAGCCGGTTGTGAGTTATTCAGAGTGTTACTGAAAAATCTTGACCCACTCACTGACGCTGGATTTCCTCCATTTTGTCGGTCAGGAACCGGTTGCCCATGTAGAAGCCCAGGTAAGTCCGCATCACGGCAGTTAAAAAACTAGCGGTCAGCGATTTTGAAACCTTTTTCCGGTCGAGAGACCAATTGAGCAACTTCTGCATCGTCCAATACTCCGTGGTGCAGCTGAGCGAGTTTAGCAGGATGCCCTTCTCCTTCTCATCCTTGGCGTTTAAGAACATGTCCCGCACCGTTAGCCAATCATCCTCGAAGCCGTTCCGGATGCCGAAGCAGAGTACCGTTTCTCGTATTCCCTCCGGAATGGAGGAGCTGGATTTCTGGTCCACCGCCGTCTTAAATTGCTGTCGTGCGTCCGACAAACATTCTTTGACTTCGAACTGGCAAGCCAGCCGGTACATGATTGTCGGCAACGATTTACCTATTGTCTCTTGACCCTCTTTTGGTATTATCTTGCTATCCGGGGCATTCTTGTTATCTGGGGATTCGATGGGACTCGATGTTTCAGGGCTCGTTCTGGCTGTGCTTTTAATCGATTTTAAAGTCACTTTAAAAGTTTGCTCAATGAGTTTCTGCATGAATAGCTGGAAATATGAGAAACATTTCAATATAAATATTATTATTTGTGAATGGGATTGGCAGTCCAGGTGGTGCCTTAATTACCACTACATTTGCTCATACCCACCCACCTTAAATATCCGATAGCCCGTGCTCATTCTCATGATGCTCTGCAGCTTCTCCAAGCTGATAAGTGCTGTCTCCCAAACAATAACGCTGGTCTCCTTTGATAGATACTTTATCACGTTCAGGGTGGTGTTATAGTGCAGTTGACCCGACCACCCCAGATTGAGGGCATCATCAACCAATTGGGCACGACTGAGCTCCGGGATCTGGGAGTACTTCTCGGCCAGTGCCTCAGCGATCAGTCGCCAGTTATAAAGATCGTAGAGAACACGAAGAGGCACTGGAGCATCGACATTCACCAGTAGCCAATTTTTCGGATCAACGACCTTGCTAAGCCTCAATACATCCGCTTTCTTGTTTTGGCAGCCAGTCCACTCTGTCTGGGGCAGCGTAAGAGTTTTGGTGATGTAGATGACGGGCAGCCACCAACAGTTTTTGGAAGTAATGGCCATATTGTACTGATGATAGCGGCTCTGCGTGATGGTCACCTTGTCATTCTTGCTGTCGCGCAGGACGGTGAGTATCGGGTATCCTGGTTGCGTTAGCCACGAATCCATAATGGTGGTCAAAACCAAACCGGCGGGCAGCTCGTAACTTCGGCGGGCTTCTCGCTGCAACACCTCCCAAAGCTGCCTGTTTGAGGCAGAGTTATTGGCGTACTCCTGGAAGAACTCTCGCAGTCCCTCAAAGAACACCTTATCGCCGAAGACCGTTCTAATCATGTGGATGATCTGGGCCATCTTGTATTTGCGGAACATCTTGTGGCTGGATTCCGTCACTTTGGTTAAGAGGGACTTCGTATCGGGCAGAGAATCGGAATACATGATTTCCAGGCGGGTTTTCAGAAGGTGGGACATGTCATGGGTCTCCTTGTCCTGCATTGCCACCACATGAAGGGCCAGATAATAGTTGATGCCGTCGCGCACATATGATCCGTCCCAGTCGGAAGAGCTCACCAGAAGTCCCAGCCACTGGCGCACCAACAGCTCACCCAGCATTTCCTGCAGCTTTTCGTCCGTCTCGTCGTTTGAGTCCACTTCCTCTTCTCCGTACACCAGCAGACCCTTGCTGCTATCCGCTTCCGCATAGTTCGGCAGAACCACATGATCGAACTTGCCTCCCCAATCCGGTCCGTTTGGCAATGGATAAGCGAACAAGGATTCATAGTTGCTGAGCAGACTTTGCGTGAACTTCGCCGCCTTGGCTAGCTGCTCCTTCATTTGCGGTCGCGCCCAGATGGTAATTTTTTCTCCCGATGCCGTAAGGCCGCTGGAAACCTTCTGAAGTTGATGCAGTGCCCACATGACCTGGTGGGTGGCCATCGGCGGTGACTGCATGAACGTGGTCCACACATAGTGCGAAATCTCCTGGCTGCAAGAGTAAACAACAAATTCACATTTGAATACCCAAAATGTACTTTCCTTGCACATTTTACTTACTGGGGTGTTTCCTTAATGGCGGGCATATTGCTGAGGGCAACGAATTTCTCGTGATGAACCACGGTTATGTTGAAGGTGGTCCGGATACTTGGGCTATCGAAGCAGGGAAACACGGTGTGGGCATAGTCAGGCTCCAATCGCGTAACTGCGTAAAAGACTTGTGGCGTTTTACCATAGTGGCCGAAAAAGAATCCGTTCCGTTGCGGCCGATTTAGTCCACCAGTAAAAAACATGTGTATCGTGTATACCTCGCCGATGTTGAGGTTGTTTTTCAATGTTAAGATTACCTCGTTGGACTTTTTTGCATTTTTCTTTATGCCGATCGTACTAATTCGCTTGCCGCTGGCCCAACGCAATAGCCATGTTTTTTCCAAGAACAGGATCAAATCACGGGAGTTCATAAAAATAGAGCGGGTTGCTTTTTGCGCTAATATATCGATGGATACGATGCCCTCATAACGGTTTTGAGCACCGCCGCCATCTAGGTGCGTTAGGATTGTTAGATTGTAACGCAGTGGCTTCACTAAGGACTCTGCGACTTTTCCCGATAAGAAACCCAAATATAAGACTAGTATTCGCAGCAACATTGCGATCGGAAATACTAAAACCTAATGCATTTTTCCATAGCTGATTTAATTCTAGAGTGATTGCTGGACTAATGGACAAAGTCACGCCCTTTCACGGTGTGTTTGGTTTTCATGAGAGACTTAAATCAGTTACAAAATATGCGTCAATCTTATCAGAACTCCATTCATAAAAACAATAAAAAGTTGAAAAGCAGTTTAAACAAGAAAGGAAAGCTAACTTCGGGCGGAGCCGAAGTTGATATACCCTTGCAGAATATTCTATAAATTATATTCTCCAAAATTATTCATATGATGCATTCTTAATACTTAAAAAAAGTCCCAACTTCCTAACTTTAAAAACAACAAAGTTATGTCATTTCCAATCGTTCAGTTATATGGCAGCTATAAGATATAGTCGGCCGATCCTAATGAAATTTGGTAGGTCGGATTGATTAACCAAATATAAAATCCATAGAAGATCCCAGCCTCCTAACTTTACAAACACCAATGTTATGGCATTTCCGATCAATCAGTTATATGGCAGCTATAAGATATAGTCGGCCGATCCTTATGAAATTTGGTAGGTCGGATTGATTAACCAAATATAAAATCCATAGAAGATCCCAGCCTCCTAACTTTACAAACACCAATGTTATGGCATTTCCGATCAATCAGTTATATGGCAGCTATAGGATATAGTCGTCCGATCCTTAAGAAATTTGGGAGGTTGGATTTATTAGCCAAAAATAAAACCCATAGAAAATCCCAACTTCCTAACTTTAAAAACACCAAAGATATGGCATTTCCGATCGTTCAGTTATATGGCAGCTATATGATATAGTGGCCCGATCCGGCTCGTTCCGACTTATATACTACCTGCAATAGAAAGACAACTTTTGGGAAAGTTTCAAGCAGATAGCTTTAAAACTGAGGGACTAGTTTGCGTAGAAACGGACGGACAGACGGACAGACGGACGGACAGACGGACATGGCTAGATCGACTCTCCTGGTGATGCTGATCAAGAATATATATACTTTATAGGGTCGGAAATGTCTCCTTCACTGCGTTGCAAACTTTTGACTGAAATTATAATACCCTCTGCAAGGGTATAAAAATACTAGCTTTTGAGAACGGGGGTAATTTAAATGTTTGTTTAATATTTATTTTAATGATGTGCCGATCACACAACCAATTAGTTAACTATTTACAAAGAAATGATCTCAACTTAAGGTTCATCGCATATCTTTAGAATTTTTTGATGGGTTTCAAATCTACATTTAAGGTTTGTGGTTAAAAAAAATTAAATTTAAAATTCGGCAACATTAAAATCGCGACCAATATTTATATGCTGATTTAACACATACAAAAATATTCATAATAAACTTAATCTTTTTACGATGCTGCTAAGTTAAAAATCAAATAATTATAACTTAAACTCACTGCTATATTTAAAAACAGGTACAGCTCTATTTCTTCATGCTGCCCATTTTCTCTTTGCGCTTCTTCACGTGCTTTTTTACTTTCACCTTGCGCTGCTCGGCTTTGGCATCTTTTACGGCCTTCTTGCGAGCCTTTTTACTCTCCGGAGACTCCTCCCGTGGTCTAGCTGATTTCTTAAACCGGCTGGCATCATCCTCGTTGTCGTTTTCCTGTGAGTCCTCGTCCTCGCTGTCGCTAGTTTGGGCATCATTAGCCTCCTCCTGTTTGCCAGTTTGGGATTCCAGGACGTCAGGCTGCTGCTGCACATCCAAATCCGGTGTCAGGCCGGTAATCTTGCCGTAGATGAGATTTTGCTGCACACCCTGCTTGGCCTTGGCCACATCCCGCTCAAAATGACGAACCTGTAAGCAAGATTTTCGTTGGTAAAGATAGTCTGGATTAGCAACTCACTTGAAAAAGGTACCTCGTCTAGTCGCTTGGGAATGTAAGTGTTTTGCCACACAGCCTCATCGATTTTCTCCTGTGCCGAGATAGCGTCAAAGTCACGATCCTTGATCCGATCCGAGATGCGCTCCAGGCACTCCTCCATGTTATCCACGGTGATGGTCTGGTCGGTGATGAAGTCGAACAGCTCCTTAACGGTCATCGTGGCCACCGCTCTTTTGCGGAAAAACTCCGATATGTTGGTGCAGTCCTTGCGTAGAAAGTCAAAGGAATGCGGATGATCGTGCTCCACTGACTGACTGACATCGATTATCACCAGCTGACCATCTTGCAGCAAGATGTTAAACTCCGAAAGATCGGCGTGCACCAGGCGACACTGGTTGTAGATGCGCCACATGATGACCACACAATCCCTATACAACTCGCGAGCCTTTGAAGTGCTCAGCTCGACATCCTTGAGTTTCGGGGCGGGCCATCCGTCGCGACCACAGAAACGCATGACCAGGACATGTGAGCGCAACAGGATCGGTTCCGGGACTGGAACGCCGGCGTTGCGCATTCGCAGATAGTTTCGCATCTCTTTCTCCGCCCAGGTGCGGACCATTTTGCGAGGATTGTGCTTGCAGTAGCCGTGCCGGAATCGGAACTCGCCGGACACGTACTTATCGCGGTCCTTGAACACCAGAATGGACGTCTTGTAGATCTTGATGGCAAACTCTTCGTCGCCGTTCTTGGACACGGCATGGTAGACATTCGCCTCCTTGCCCGTCGAGATGCAGCCGTTGATCTCCTGTATGAGGCCACGGTTCAGCAGCTTAAAGAGTATCATCCGGGTGCGCGGATCCATAACCTGTTCGGCGGTGGCCCGGTCGTGTTTGTCGCGAACCTGTGTCCGCTCGCGCCTATCGAAGTTCACTAGCCGGTTGGCCGCCTGGGCGCTCATGTTCGTGGTGGGGTCGTACTTCTCGACGTTGATACGGGCGGAGTAGCGGCGAAGCAGTTTATCGTTGGGTTGGTAGCTGCTGACGCGCTGTGGGCCACCAGCTCCTCCGCCGGAGCCACCCCCACTAGCGTTTGTGAGCTGCGGCTGGGCATGAAGCTTGTTGAAGCCCGTGTAGGCCTCCTCGTAGGCATCGTAGTCATCGCCTGCATCGTCGTAGTCCTCCTCATCGTATTCCTCCGCGTCTTCGTCTTCCAGTTCTTCCTCTCCGTTGGAAGGCACTATTACTTGTGCCAGGTCATCGCTGACCTCCTTGGGCGTCAGCTTTATGTCCTTAAAGATCTCGTGCTTCACGGTGAGCGTCTTAAAGTCGTTTACCCATTCGGACTATTAAAACAGGGAGTTTTATAGATCATTGCCAATTTATAACTTTTTTGCTTACATTCTGCAAGTCTTCTTCGTCCTCCTCGGCGTCGCTGTATTTGTGCGGATCGTTGTTCATCTTGGGGCATTCAGTAGTTAATTAATTTTAATTTCTGTAGTATTTATACCGCAAAAGCTTTGAGTTAATGCCAAACTTTCGCCAAATCCAAGAATTTCATAAATTTGTCCAACCGCACGTGTTGCGAATGCCACTCACAGTAAAGCGTTGACATTGTTTTGGTATTTTCCAGGGATGGTTATCTGCAGACAAACAAATTTGATATTTTTTGAGACAAAAAAGAACACCTGGTCACACCTACACTTACACATGGTAAATCGCATTCAAAACAATGAACGACCATTAGTTTTCAATTCTATATTTTACCAATTTGGCGACATGTTCGTGTTGGCCGAACTGAAGGACAATGTGCGAATTGCGCCGGACCAGTTCCACCTAAAGTTGGTGGACGCGGTGCGGGACGAGATCGACCGCAAGCTGGCCAATAAGGTGGGCCAACTGTGAATCTGATTGCGAGGTCCCAGTTCTTAATTTCTGTTATTTGCAGGTTCTGCTTAACGTAGGACTGTGCATTGCCCTTAAGGACATAGTCTCACTGAAGGACTCGATTATTCTGCCGGGCGACGGAGCCTCGCACACGGAGGTTCTATTCCGGTACGTGGTCTTCCGGCCGATGGTGGGCACTGTGATCACAGGAAAGATCCGGAATTGCAGCCGGGAAGGGGTGCATGTGACACTGGGCTTCTTCGACGACATCCTCATCCCACATGCCGCCCTGCAGCATCCCTCGCGATTCGATGAGGCCGAACAGGCCTGGGTCTGGGAGTATCCACTAGAGGATGGCGCTAAGCACGATCTCTTCATGGACGTGGGCGAGCCAATCAAGTTCCGGGTGTCGCGCGAGATCTTCGAGGAGACGTCGCCCATTGGACCGCCCAAGGCGGAGGCCCAGTCACAACAGGGACCCAGCACTTCCTCGGCTGCCGCTTCAGCCGCATCCCAGGAGGTCAAGACACCTTACAGGATTATTGTAAGCCATTATCTGCCTCTGTATGGGAACGCTCTTTATATTGTGAGTCTCTTTCCAGGGTGCCATTAACGAATCCGGCTTGGGCGTGCTCTCCTGGTGGGATCAGCAGGGTAAGGACGAGGAGCAGGACGATGAGGAGGGTGACGATTACGACAATGACGAGGATGGCGAAGGCGCCTGCGAGGAATGACCCTGACGTTTACTCAACTGTATGATAAGTGCCCATAGTACTGTTGCTAAGAGATCGATTTAAAAAAGGAGTTCTTAGCAAACTTCGCTAAATTTTGATTTCAGTTTTAAGATGAAGTAGAGTTTGCAAAATTAAAGGAATATAATTTATACTAAAACTGAAACCAAAGCTTATTTTGGCAAGACAAGGCTTTTAATCATTGAATCCAAAATGGAAAAGCGAAAAAAAAACAAACTCGAGTTTGTTGTCTTACAAAAGATAATGTCAAAGGACTTACGTCTCCCAGTCAAAAGAATTACTTTTTTATACAGCAAAGCCATAACTTTTGACTCAATTTATTATACCCTCTGCAAGGATATAAAACAATGACTTTAACATGTTAAAAATTTAAAATTTTACATTTATTCTTGATCTTAAAAGCTTATATACGCTGTTTTTAAATGTCAATATAGGGTGATGAACATTAAGACTTTTTCTGTATTAAAAACCAAGATTTCGGAATTGAAAAAATATAAAAAATGATAACATTTGCTTAGAATATAGTATTTTAAGGTCAGAAATCTTGACTGGGAAAAAAGTGAGTCACTTAAGCGCTGATAAGAAATAAGAACCAAACTCTCACTTCTGTTTCATTTGGTTTGTGCCTCGCGTAGAATGCAGTCGTCTTTAGCTTGGATTACTTTGTTCATTTTGGTCCTAAGCCACCAGAGTACTGCCCAGTTTCTGGTGGAACCCTGTGGAACTCTATTCGGTAACAGTGACACTAATGTAGGACCACTTGGTGTTCCATGGATGGCAGCGATAAGTAATTCCACGCATTTTTTGTGCGGCGGCACCCTGATTCACAGAAGTTCGTATAATTATTGAATAAAATATTTGTTGATAATATTAAATTTGTTTTTCTCAGGTTTTGTTTTAACTGCTGCTCATTGCATAATGCAGCGAGGAACTCTGTAAGTATCTTCAAATATATATTTAAGTTTTTATGGCTTAACAGGCTAGTAAGTTGAGATAGTTCAAATTTCGCCGTTGTCCAGCCTAATAAATACGTGAACAATTTGAACTTTTTCCTTGACAGATGTTTTTTTTTATTTGAATAAAAAAATATAAGTACTTAAAATAAAGAAAACATTTGTCAATTTAAAAACAAGAGTAGCGTTATCGTATTTGATTGATATAAAAACATAGAGAAATATTATAGTGTGTTGTACAATATTATAAATTGGAATTAGTGGAATAAGTTAGCTCCATTCTTGTTCTAAACAATATTTACATGGATTTCAGATTCGTGAAGTTGAGAGCACACATTAAAACGCAGTATACTGCCACCCATGCTCTTCTGCACCGAGCGTTCTCCAAATCAAATCTCCGGAATGATATAGGCCTGCTTAAACTGTCGAGCAGCGTTGTCTTCGATGGTAAGAGAACGGTTTAACGATTACAATAAATTGGCTAAATGCTTTTCCTTGCAGACCGCACTTATCCCATCTGCATCGATTTGGGTAAGGGAACTAAGGATCACATTGAGGCTAAGGGGACGTTCAAATCCATTGGCTGGAAGGCAAAAAAAACAGGATTGGAACTCGATGAAGTGGAAGCTGTCGCCGTTAACCAAATGAATCAAACCGAATGCCAAAAGCCAAAAAATACGATCTGCGGGGCTTTATCATACGCGTGCTTGAGTGCAAACGATTCTGGCAATCCGTTGACCAACAACATCTTCTTTAATTGCACATCCGATCGCGAAGTGCAGTTCGGGATCACAAGCTACGGAACGTTAAATGGCGATGAACCGGTCATTTTCACCGATGTGACAAAATATGTGGATTGGATTAGGGAAACAATTAATATATTTTATGAGGAGGACACTTCTGTGAATACTGTAAGAGCAGAAAAACCAAATTTGCCATGTGAAGATTCAGTGACCCAAAGTCCCAAGACGCCTCCGACTCAGATGGTTCAGGAGATGTGGTTGTACAGAGACTGCGGTGGTGACACCATAAGATCGCACTTGTTGGCATTCATTTACGAAACTAATTTCCAGGCCAACGGTGTGTTTGTTACTGACAGTACGTATCTATCTACTAAGGCTTATTTTAAATTTTAAATAATCTGAATTATACCATTTGCCATTTAATCACTCTTAACTTTCAGGATTTGTCATTACAATTGCCAGGGATTTACCGGAAAACGTGTAAGTAGTGTTAGCATGTTTTTATAATAATATATTCCGAAAGTAATAAATTATTCCAACAGATATTTGGCTCCAATGGCATTGAACAGAACTGTATACACTTCCTTACAAGTTGACTCGATCGTCAGGCATCCGAGGTATTTAGAGGACAACCAAAATAATTTAGCATTGCTCAAACTAAAAGGACCGGTGACCATTGGTAACTTTATTTATTATAAATATAATTTACATTTGATCACAAATTTGCTCTTTTCCAGGCGATTTGAAACCAATGTGTGTGCTCACTATGAAAATGTTCCAGCAAGAGGCAGAATCTACTCCTCCTTTTACTTTATTTGACGTTGGGGAAACTGGTGAAAGCATTAGTATTTATGAACATGACGTGGAACTCGTTAACCTCGGCGAATGTTCATCCAGAATACGAGGGACCACCGGACAGAATCAACTCTGTATCGTAGATTCTCCCGCGACTAATAAGACATTTGGAAAACGAGGTGACTTCTTGGGCAAGAGGATGATGTATTTGGGAAAGGAGTGGCTTAACCTGTTTGGTATTGTCAGTTATTCAACTAATGGTTTCCATGTTCTGACAAATATTATGAGATATACAGAGTGGATGACTCAGGTTGTTACGGTTAATTAGCTAATGGGTTTTATTAATTTTATATTGCGAGTTTTCTTCAATGAATAATTGGGTTTTAATAAATAATCCGAAACTTTTGGCCAAAACATTTTGTGATTGTTTTTTCCTTTAACTATAATGAAATACGACTTACATCCACAAGAATGACTGTTTTGTGCAACTACATCTTCATTTTTACAAATTTTCGCCCTTTTCATAATGGGTAACATCAGGATTTCTGGCAAAATTGGACAAAAAACAAGAAAGGAAGCAAACTTCGGCAAGCCGAAGTTTATATACCCTTGCAGCTTTTACAAAACTACTACATTTCTATATCACAAACAAATGTTTTGATAAATAGAAAAACAGGAAAATACATTTTTTGTAATTTTTATACTTTTTTAATTTTTTGATTTTTTTATGGGAGATATAAGATATAGATGTTCGATTTTAATTTAATCAAAACCGTAACTCCATAGTATTTAAATATTACCAAGTCCCAAAAAACAAAAAAAAAATTAAAAACAACAAAGTTCCATTTTTTCCGATTTTTACTATGGGAGCTATATGATATAGTACCGATCCGGCTCGTTCCGACTTATATAATACCTGCAATAGGAAGACAACTTTTGGAAAAGTTTCAAGCAGATAGCTTTAAAACTCAGGGACTAGTTTACGTAGAAACGTACGGACGGACAGTCGGACATGTGATGCTGATCAAGAATATATATACTTTCGGAAATGTCTCCTTCACTGCGTTACAAACTTTTGACTGAAATTATAATACCCTCTGCAAGGGTATAACAACATGATGGAGTTCAGGATTATTTTCTAGCATAAGGTTATATTTTATGGAGATTTATAAAAGATTTCCAATAACCTAAGTTCAAAATCTAGAGTTCAAGAATCTCTTCCATTTCCCACCGAAAAAAGAACCAATAATTTATTTTACACTTTAAAGTAAAGTGTTTACTTAATAACAGCGCTGTTGTTTTTTATTTTCTTGTTGTAAATTAATGCGAAACAAACAGGAGCAAGCCAAAATGGAATCAATGAAAATGAACTGACTTCTGCTGGAGCTGGAGCTGCTGCTGCTTGAGCTTGTGCTTGATGTTGGGACAGTAGGGCACAGGGCACTTCAGCTCCTGACAATGCTTGGCGTGGTAGCAAGAGAGCGCGATCAACTGCTTGCAGATGTTACATCCTCCGTTGGCCTTGCGGCTGCATTTTTTCGTGTGCCGGATGACGCGCTTCATCTTCTGGCACATGGGCCATGGGCAGTGGGCATCGTGGCATTGGCAGGCGTGCTCCAGCGCCTGGATGCAATGCTGGATGTACTGTTTGCGTTCCTCCTGGGGATTGGCCTGCTTGTGTTCCGCCGGAGCGGAGCCGTCGTCGTTCTCAAACCCAAGCTTTTCCATCTTGTGCGGATGTTCGACCTAAAGTAAATTAAAACGGGGAATGATTAGTATTGCTTGTAGTTCCTTTGTTGACATTTTAAAATCCAATAAGTGTATTACTTTAGATGGTTATGACTCTAAAAAAGTATTCTCACAACAACTGAACTCGTTAGATCATGAATTGCTAATGTTATTATGATATTGTTAATGATTAATTTTACAGAGACAAAGGAGAACCGAGTTAGAAAGAAAGCTACAACCCACAAGTCTGTTGATTGGGACATCAAAAAAGGACCAATTTTTTACATCGCAGGAACTCAAAAATATGTTGCAGGCATCAGTTACTACTCGGACAATTAGGAACAGGTTGAAAGAGATTTAAAAGCACATTTAGCTAGAAAAGTTATACTTCTAAGCAAAAAAAGAAATATTGAAAGAAGGCTTATTTTTGCAAAGCGATACCTTGACCGTCAAAATTGGAATAATGTCCTGTGGTCTGATGAAACTAAATTAAATATGTTCTGGTCATATGGGAAAACATATGTAAAGGGCCCAAAAAATAATGTTTTCGATCCGAAGCATACCATTAAGACTGTTAAGCATGATGGCGGGTTTATCAGCGCGTTTCTATTATTATTTCCACCACTGTACATATATATACATAATATATGCTTATCGCTCTTTTGAGTAATGGTTTTCTTGAGGAAAAAATGAAACCAATATGGTCTTTCGTTTTGATTTCAGAATTTTTATTTCAATTTATTTTACAGTTTCAAACAAAGTATTTAGTTGATTACAGTGTTGTTAGTTTTTGTTTGCTTTGTTTGGTTTTGCTTGGTTTGCTGCATCACCTATTGCTGATGATGTTGCTCCTGCTGATGCTGTTGCTGTTGCTCCTGCTGTTGCTGCTGTTCCTGCCATTGCTGTTATAAAGAGAATGGATTTTTACTTATTAAAACTAACTTCGTACATGAATTCTTAAGATTAATGTTATCTTTAGGATTCTTTATTTAATACCTCTGGCTAGCTTTAATAAATATTTTGGAAGAGCTAAGGCCGATATCATTCAAGAATTTATAAAAGAAAATTGAAAAATATATTTCTTTCTCTAATGTAGCCAAAATCGTTTTTTCCTAGTACTGATTAATCTGCAGATACTATTAATGTAAAAAAAGTTGTATATTCATTTTAGAAACAAGCGCAAGACTAAAATATAAGTCTAGAGCTCTGACTAATTTCGGGTATCCATTCATATTATATAATGATTATGACATCTGGTTCAAAAGCTAAGTTCGTGGCTATAGAAAATTGACTTCTGGTTTTTGACCGCAATGTGGTTCTTAGGACACTGCTTATTTTAGTCACTTACCATTCCTCCCTGCGTGGAGACGCCGGGCGACATTAGAGAAAGGCTTTGCAGCATCATGGTTGCGTTCTCTATGTTGGACATACACTGATGGGGTCCAGTGCCTGGTCCACCGAGTCCGCCCTGCTGCTGCATCAGATTTACCTGCTGGTGCTGCTGGTTCATCATGTGCTGCATCTGCTGTTGCTCCTTGCGCTTCAGCCTCTTCTCCTCAAGCTCCTTCTGGATCTTGTAGAGCTTCTCTGCCAGCAGGTGAAAGTACTCAGATCTAGACTTGGCCATCTCGTACATGTCATTCTCGACTTTCTCCGCGTACGAGACGAGATTGTGGAGTCGTTTGTCCTCCATAGTGGTGGGATCTGAGGTGGGGCAAATGCCCTGCACCAGTGCGCGGACTAGATGGTTGCGCAGATCAACGGAAACCAACTCCCGCCAGTCCTTCTCGTTGTCGCCGGGAGCTCCAGAGTTTCCACCATAGCCATTGCCCGGGTTCTGATTGGGATTGCCCGCGTTGCCGCTGCCCATGGTATCGGCTGACATCAGGACACTGGAACTATTAAATCAGAATTACACTTTTAGTTTTATCAAAATCGGACAACAATATCATATAGCTGCCATAGAAACGATGGCAAAATGCAGCGCAAAATCGACATAGCTTCATTGCTTTTAGTAATATAGGTATAGAAATCGAAATATAGTCGTTTTGTAATAACTACAAGGGTATATAAACTTGATCCAGTTGTCATTGTTTTGTGCCTCTAATAATCGTGACTTTGTGGAATCCGCGATCATAAAGCATGACAATCGGCTTAGTGCATCCACGTGCCTCATCTTGGTTCCAGCTCTGTGCTCCATTTTAAACTCAAACTCTTGCAGAGCCATGGCCCCTCTTGCAACTCGCGGTGGTAGATAATCCTTTTTATCGTCATTGCAAAGTCGGTTACTACTGTAAATCGCTATCCGAGCAGGTAGACTCTCCACTTTTTCAGCGCGTTTACGATTGTTAGAACCTCAAGTTCGTAAGAAATATATTTTTTTCACAAGTGTTTGTCTTCAGACTCATAAACTCTACATAAACTCATACTTCACTATTATTATAAGCTAGTTCTAGCATATTTAAAACTGGAACAGCTTCTAAAATTTGCATCTAGCTTATAGCTTGAAATATAGCTTATTTTAAAATTAATCTAAGAAAAATATGCTTTATGCAATGAAAATATCAGAGCTTGTTCTTTTTTTGCCGATGGTTATGTTATTAAGGGGACCCCCTCCCATTCTCGGTTTAAAAAAATCGATTTTTGTTTTTTATTTAATTTGAACCTACAACTATTCAAGAATGTTCCTTTAAAATTTCAAATGAAAATTGAGATATAGCCGATTTATGGTGGAAGCGTTAGGCGACGGCGAGAGCTTCTCAAAACTTTAAACGCGTTTTTCTCGAAACAGTATTTTTATGACTGGCGTAGGAGATTACTCAAAAACTATTAATCCAATCGGTTCCAAATTGTAATACGTTTTTTTATGCATATATAGCTATAGCATGAACTGGGATAAATCAAATCATATACATATACTCTTCCTAATCCCGTTGGAATTTTTGGTTTCAGATGTTTCAGTGAGCTTAAATCCACTACGCCGACGAAAAGAAGAACTTTTGTTCAATAACAAAAACAAAAAAAAAAAAAATTATGTTAAATTTTTTTCTTATTATTTAAGTCTTCAATTAAATGGATGCAAAGTTGCAAGCCTGAAAAATAATATATAAAACTTTCCAGCTCATTGAAAATCATCAAAATTTAAAATTTGTCCCCTTAAACAAATTTTTTTGCGATACTTGGCTCCAAAATAGAGAGTTCAAGGCGTGGTTACGCAAACTTCCAGGAAATGGAACCAAAGCATATTGCTGCTATTGTAAATCTACAATTTCAGCAAAAACTTCGAAATAAGGCAGAATGGGGAAAATATTAATGATACCATAAAATTTTGGGCAGAGGCAATGGATTATAAGGATGCTGGAGAAAATAAAACATTTGAGTCCCTTGCCTTACGTGCAATTGAAATGTTTTCCATACCGTGGTCCACTGCCGAAGTGGAACGGGCTTTTAGCCAAATGAACATAATAAAAACAAAATTGAACAACAAAATGCATTTAAATATTTTTAATCCAATATTAAGCATAAGGTTTGCTATATTTGTTTAATCAAAATTGTTTGATTTTTAAATATTTATTTTTAATTTGTCATTGCGCAGGCATGGGAAAAGTTGCCATACGTACACCTCGCCATTCTCAACGTAGTGGTAAGATACGGACAGAATGCAGCTGGAGAGTTGGAGATACCAAATAGTACATGCGTGAATTCGTACTGCCTGTTATGTGTCACGAATGCTGTAAACTTCCTGGATTATTCGTCAATCGGTACATGAAAGAATCGGTACATCATGTCAAGAGTCGTAAATATTTTCGATCCTTGCAACCTGTCGAGAACGTCGTCAATTAAACTCATCGGAAAATTGTCCTTCTTTAGTCACAGTCGGTAGTCACAGCAAGATCTTCTTGATCCGTCCTTTTTTGCAACAAGTAAACTTTTGTTTTCTTCTCATCACAGTGCTTCGAGATATGTATTTTCTTGTTGGAGTTGTAGCAAACTACTTCGCCTTTACAATCTTTTGCGATGTGGACCTCACTATTACATTTGAAGCACTTTCTTTGAAAATTACCCTGATTCTGTTTACTTGTCACTTTCTTTTATATTTCCTTCTTCTCGAAAAAATAAATTGCGTCCTTGAGTTCCCTAACGAATTTGGCGTGATACAGTCCTGCCTTTTTACTTTGCTATCAGAAGCTGCTTAGCATAAATAAATTTCTACAAGTTATCCCAGCCCACCTTAACAGCCACATCATCGAACTGTGATTGACGTCCTCTTGTTCGGAGCCCGACAACGAAGATACACTGTCTTGAATATCGCGTAAAGTAAATCTTGAGCTTACAGGTGAATTCGCTTCTTGATAATTTAATAAACCACTGACGTTTATAGAATCTTCTTCCGCATCACCACCCACATTTAGCCTAAAATGATCTAACAGGCGATCCTGTAAAACACTCTTTCATCCATTTGTTTCTAATCCCAACTCGGATAGTTTGCCCGCAGCAAAAGAACTATCATATCAAGAATCGATCTGGCATCCATGGTAATGCGTCTAAGCCGTTTACAAGTGGTTTTACAATTCAATTTCACACAAAACAAATGCAATCAAAAATGTTCAATTAAGAAAATTATATGAATTCCCCCTGTCGCTCACCACACCCAATTGGATTTGACTATCCAAAACGTTCTCTTCTTGCCACGATTCGACAACTCCTCCAGTCCAGTCCGCTCCTTCTGTTGCAACTCGTTCTCTTCGATGTCGTCACACCCCTGCTTTCTCGTCGTTTCTTTTGCAAACCGCTGCTCTTCGTCGTCGTTTTTTCTGATTTAGTGTTCCTTGCGTCGAAGAAAGGATCACTCCTTCGTTTTCCGGCTCATAGGTAAACTCTTCGTTCGGCATCTACTGATTTTGATGCAATAAACAGCTGCAAAAAAATCGATGGTACTATCGATAATATCGATGGCTAGCCGCCAGTGACCGTCTTCGATATTTTTCAGCCTATCACAATAGTATTATAATAAATCTCCATCACTTAAATTTCGAACAATTAAGAAGGTACGCACATTTTGGATACGAAAAATTGAATATTTACTAATTTTTTCTTGTTTTCGACAGAAATATTAAAATATTCGTATAATTACACTATTACTACTATATTGGTTTTACATGAATACCCCTAATGTATACATATGGTAGTATCGCGATAGTATCGATGTTTACTCTGCAAAAGATCAAAACTATCGATGGAGCCACCATCGTGGCGCGAAATTTGGGTGGAAGCAAAGACCAATATAATATATATTGGTCTTTGGTGGAAGAGTGTTTACGAGGTCAGCAGTGATGGCACAGTCGAAGTGCGGGAAAATTTTTTGAATTGCGGGAAGCGAGAATTCTGGATTTTTAAAAAGCTTCCACAAATTTTATGAAAAGACACAAAAAATACCATTTTTAATGAAGCTGTGGATAAAAAGTGTCCTAACGCGGTAACACCTACCAGTATTATTAAATGTTCTTGTCGATATTTGCCAATACTACCATCGCTATTTTACGTTGAACTACCATCACAAAATTTTCAGCTTTTTTTTATTTTTCTCTTTAAAAAACCGCTTTTTTTCAAAAGTTGGCAGCACTGGATGGCAGAATAGGGTAAAGCACATTACCTTTGAAAACTCAAAAAAAAACACATGGCTCAAAAGCGATAAGCATATATGTATAAGCAAGTGTGATGAAATTCTTAAGCTCAGTCGTCTGCGCTTACAAATATTGAATTGCGCTTAGTTATTGTGTGAAGTTTAATACTTTGGCAGAGAAATCATTATCCATAGATTATACGAAGTACTTTGTAATAACTTTAAGCAATTGAAGTATCTAACGAGTTCAGTTGTTGAGAGAATAAGAGAGAGTCATAACTATCTAACCATCTAAAAGCATTTACATTTGGTTTTCCTCAAAAAAACCACATTGCTCAACTCAGAGCGATAAGCATATGTATAATATATTTGTATGTATATATAAAGCGAAACGAGCTGATATTTCCGCCACCATGCTTAATAGTCTTAATGGTATGCTTCGGATTGAAAACATTATTTTTGGGCGCTTTACATATGTTTTCCCATCTGACCAAAACATATTTATTTTAGTTTCATCAGACATTTCAGACCCTATAAGTATATATTTTATTGATCAGCATCACCAGGAGAGTCGATCTAGCCGTCCGTCCGTCCATTAACCATTTCCAGGGTATTCTTAAAAAAACCTAAGCTCGAGTTGATCTTTTCCGATCTTTTTTTGGCATCAAACCCAATGTCAAACTAAAATATGGTTTCTGGCTTTAGCGACCAATTATTACCTTTAAATCTAAAATATAATAGAAACGCAATCATTATCATGTTACCATTTATTTATTTTATCATGTACTTATAGAGTTGTTTTCTTGTTGGTTTAAGTCTGCCGTCTCCATGCTAACTGTTCCCGATGAAACTCTCTCACATTGGATTGCTCCTTGCTCCTTGCGCTTCAGCCTCTTCTCCTCAAGCTCCTTCTGGATCTTGTAGAGCTTCTCTGCCAGCAGGTGATAGTACTCAGATCTAGACTTGGCCATCTCGTACATGTCATTCTCGACTTTCTTTGCGTACGAGACGAGATTGTGAAATCGCTTGTCCTGCATGCTGGTGGGATTCGAGGTGGGGAAGACGCCCTGCACCAGTGCGTGGACACGATGGTTGCGCAGATCAATGGAAACCAACTCCCGCCAGTCCTTCTCGTTGTCGCCGCAAGCTCCAGGGTTTCCGCCATTGCCGCTGGCGCCTCCAGCTCCCGCTCCTGCGTTCTGATTGGTATTGCCCGCGTTGCCGCTGTTGGGCATACGCTGATGGGGTCCAGTGCCTGGTCCTCCAGGTCCGCCCTGCTGCTGCTGCTGCTGCATCAGATTTACTTGCTGCTGCTGCTGGTTCGGATTCATCTGCTGCGGCCCACCGCCGCCCCGCTGCTGCTGCTGGTTCATCATGTGCTGCATCTGCTGTTGCTGCATCACCTGCGGCTGCTGCTCCTCGCGCTTCAGCTTCTTCTCCTCCAGTTCCTTCTGTATCGTGTAGATCTTCTCCGCCAGCAAATGATAGTAGTCAGATCTAGACTTGGCCATCTCGTATACGTCCTTCTCGACCTTCTCCGCGTACGAGACGAGATTGTGGAGTCGTTTGTCCTCCATAGTGGTGGGATCTGAGGTGGGGAAGATGGAATGCACCAGTCTGTGTACAAGATGGTTGCGCAGAACACCGGTAACCAATTCCCGCCAGTCCTTCTCGTTGTTGCCGGGAGCTCCAGAGTTCCGGCCATTGCCATTGCCATTGCCGCCGGCGCCTCCAGCTCCGGCTCCCGCGTTCTGATTGGGATTGCCCGCGTTGCCGCTGCCCGTGGTATCGGCTGACATCAGGACACTGGAACTACTAAATCAGAATTACACTTTTAGTTTTAACAAAATCCGGACAACAATATCATATAGCTGCCATAGAAACGATGGCAAAATGCAGCGCAAAATCGACATAGCTTCATTGCTTTTAGTAATATAGGTATAGAAATCAAAATGTAGTCGTTTTGTAAGAACTGCAAGGGTACATATATAAACTTCGGCTTGCCAAAGTTTGCTTTCCTCTTGTTAGGACCCCCTAAACGAAGATACGTTGTCTTGAATATCGCGTAAGTAGATCTTGAGCTTACAGGTGCATTCGCTTCTTGGTAATTTGATGAACCACTGACGATTATAGAATCTTCTTCTGCATCGCCACCCACATTTAGCCCAAAATGATCTAACAACCGATCCTGTAAAACACTAAGAAGTTTCGGTCGGATTGCTTGTTTCCCTATCTAGTGCGTCGATTTCATCATCTTTTTGTTGTGTTTTTTATTTCTGCTCACGCACATACTTCGATTTTAATCCAATTTTTCTTCTTTTTAACTGTTTTTTGTCGATTAACTACTCTTTTTCAATTAACTTTCATGTAATTCCGTCGTGGCTTGTTCTTTATGTGTTAACGCACAGTTGTTTTAATTGTTTTTGGATAGTAAATCCCGGACGAGACTCCAATAAATTGTAGGGTATTACATACTAAATATTTTTTTTTCGGTTATTTCACAAGGTTCCAAAAGAGAAATATTTGGTTTTCACGACTTCCGCACTATGGATACTTCGACCTCCTTTGTCAACCGTTCGGCATCAACTTAACTTGGTGCAATATCGTGGCGCGAAATTTGGGTGGAAGAGTGTGAACTCAAAAAAAAACACATTGCTCAGAAAAGCGATAAGCATATATATATATAGTGACTTATTCACATATTCATAGAAATAAGAATATTTAATGTAAACAATCCACATCCAGAGCTGGCGATGCCGCTCTACAATAACATAAACAATTATTGAAATGACTAAGTGCCGCGCCCTAAGTGGCACTCTCACTCTCAAATTATTGAATACAATCAAGCGGGCAATCTCGCTTTGTAAACAAAGGGCAACACAAGAAAAATATTTGTCACAAGAATTTAGTCTTAAGCCAATCTTCAATTAATAAAGTCTCAGAACCTCATTTAATTGTGTTTTTAATTTAAAGTTCGGCGTTGATCTTAACCCAAAGGGTGGATCATTTATTCGACTCAAACGAAATAATTTCAATATGATATATGTATGTATATATGTATATAAAGAGATCAAACAGCAAGTGTGATGAAATTGTTAAGCTCAGTCGACTGCGCTTAGTCACACTGTACACCCAGAGATTTGCAGACACTACAAGTATTGAATGCGTTTAGTTACTGTGTGAAGTTTAACATTTTGGCAAGGTAATCATTATCCTTAGAGTATACGAAGTATTTTGGAATAACTTTAAGCAATTGAAGTATCTAACGAGATCAGTTGTCAGCGTCATAATCATCGTATAGGATTTTCAAAATGTTTTTTTCTCAAGAAAACCACATTGCTCAAAAGAGTGATAAGCATATAATATATATATATACAGTGGTGGGAAAAATAGTAGAAACGAGCTGATATTCCCGCCACCATGCTTAACAGTCTTAGTGGTATGCTTCGGATCGAAAACATTATTTTTTGGGCGCTTTACATATGTTTTCCCATCTGATCAGAACATATTATTTATTTTAGTTTCATCAAACCACAGGACTTTATTCAAATTTTGGTATCAAGGTATTCAAGGTATCGCTTTACAAAAATAAGCATTTTTTCAATATATTTTTTTTTTTTGGCTTAGAAGTATAACTTTTCTAGCTAAATGTGCTTTTAAATCTCTTTTAATCAGCCTGTTCCTAATTGTCCGAGTAGTAACTGATGCCTGCAACATATTTTTGAGTTCCTTCAATGTAAAAAATGGTCATTTTTTGATGTCGGAATCAACAAGTCGTCAAACTTGTGGGTTGTAGCTCTTTATCTAACTCAATTCTCCTTTGTCTCTGTGAAATGAATCATCGTTATTCCTTCATCTCTCAGTTTTTTAAAAGTATTTCTTTCTTTAGCTGTGCAGTGCACTCCGCGACCGGTACTGTAAATTAAAGTCGAAGTTAAAATCGGATTTTGACCAAATTTGTAATTTTGTGCAAAATTTACCTAAAAGTATTAACAACCTTTAATTTCACAATAATAAGAGTAAAGTACAAATTTCATTGTACTATTTTAACGGTCTTAAAAAGAAGCACTTAATAAAATAATGTTACTTAGTACCGTACCAAATAAAGTTGGTTTTAAGCCTAGAGCTTTTATACATACATATTTAGAAATTTGGTTTCAAGTGCAAAATTAAATGTAGTTTCTATTATTTTTTCCTCCACTGTAAGAGAACAAGTGTTAAGAAATTCTTAAGTTCCCTCGCTCAGTCGACTGCGCTCCCCCCGATCATACACAACATCCGGAGGTTTAAAGACACTAAAGTCGCATTTGAAAGTTTAATAAGTTTGCAGAGTAAGCATTAAGATTGTTGGATTTTAAAATGTCAACAAAGGAACTACAACCAATACTAATCATTCCCCGTCTTAATTTACTTCACAGGTCTTGATCTGTGCAATGTGTGTCGGACATCCGCAAAGGATGGAAAAGCTTGGCTTTGAGAACGACGACGGCTCTGTTCCGGCGGAACACAAGCAGGCCAATCCGCAGGAAACCCGCAAACAGGCCATCCAGCGTTGCATCCGGTCGCTGGTGCACGCCTGCCAATGCCACGATGCCCACTGCCCAAGGCCCATGTGCCAGAAGATGAATCGTGCCATTCGGCACACGAAAAACTGCAAGCGCAAGACCAACGGAGGATGTAACATCTGCAAGCAGTTGATCGCGCTCTCTTGCTACCACGCCCGTCATTGTCAGGAGCTGAAGTGCCCTGTGCCCTACTGTCCCAACATCAAGCACAAGATCAAGCTGAAGCAGCAGCAGCTCCAGCAGAAGTCAGTTCATTTTCATTGATTTCAAATTGGCTTGAGCCTGTTTGTGTTTGTTTCGCATTAATTTACAACAAGTAAATAAAAAACAACAGCACTGTAATTAACTAAACACTTTGCTTTAAAGTGTAAAATACATTGAAATTAAAATTATGAAATCAAAACAAATTACCTTATTCGTTCCTTTTTTCGCTGGGAAATGGAAGAGATTCTAGAATATAACTTTATGTTAGAAAATAATCCTCAGCTCCATCAGTCAAAAGTTTGTAACGCAGTGAAGGAGACATTTCCGACCCTATAAAATATATATATTTTTGATCAGCATCACCAAGAGAGTCGATCTAGCCACGACTGTCTGTCCGTCCATTAACCATTTCCAGGGTATTCCTCAAAAAACCTAAACTCGAGTTGATCTTTTCCGGATTTTGGCATCAAACCCGATGTCAAACTAAAATATGGTTCCTGGCTTTAGCGACCAATTATTACCTTAAAATCTAAAATATAATAGAAACGCAATTATACTCATGTTACCATTTATTTATTTTATCATGTACTTGTAGAGTTGTTTTCTTGTTGGTTTAAGACTGCCGTCTCCATGCTAACTGTTCCCGATGAAACTCTCTCACATTGGATTTAAAAACAAAGCATTTACATTTGGTTTGAGTGAGGGTTTACTTAATGAGAAGAGCAGCTCTATAACGTAAGCTAGATATATAGAGTATCTTTGACGGCCAGGAGTCGATTGTTTATGTTTATGATTTGCAATTGCAGTTCGCAACCTGACAACAATTTACTAAACATTGTGTTAAGTATTGACTTCATTGGTAGCGTGCGCTTTCTGTCACCGATTCCTTGCTTAAAATACTTTCAGTTGCCGTAAGTTAATTACAGAGTAGTCATATGGTACAATCGAAGTAAGGTTTTACTGGTCAGGGGCTGCAAAAGTCTAGGATTTGTAAATTTCAATTGCAATTTCAATCTAAAGCTGCCGGCAACTTTTGCATGTTTTCGCTATACTCGTAAATATTTTCCGATTTTCCGATTTTTCTCTTTTCTTGTTTTGCTTCTTTGAACTAATGTAATTTAATTGCATATTTTGATTTACTTTGTATTTCGTATTTTTTTACTTTTATTTGTTGTTTGTTCGTCTTTTGGGCGCAATGTTTTGTTTTAATTTCTTTGAGTTGATTTTGTTTAGTAATTTACACGTAGTCTGCATGTTTAGTTACAGCGAGAATAGTAAATAAAATGTTCGTTAAAACTACAATAATATAAATAATGTATATTTATAAATATAAATATATATTTGTGTATATGTATATTAGACATATTGTATTGCATGTAAATAAATATCATCTTCGGGTCTTTTGTGGTACATCATCATCTTAAACAGATCAACTTAACTAAGTTCCGTATCAAATCACAGCAGAAATCATAAAAAGTCTAAAACTATAAGGGATAGAGCACAGTGTTGACGGAAAGTTAAAGTCACATAGCACGCGAGGAACTTGCCGACTGGAGGTTAAGTTTACCAAATTAGCATACTCGAATACCCAAACCAAAATCAGTGAGTGCTCCGGGATCTCGAGGGATCGTCGGCCCATCGATGGTCGATGATCAACGATCGCTGATTGATGGTGGATGGTCGATGGTCGATTATTCGATGATCAGGCAGCGGGGGAGGTGCTCCTTCAGGTAGTCGAACAGCTCGTGCGACGCCCCCGGGCAGTTGGTCAGCTCCAGCTCCTGCAGATGCCTCAATTGGATCAGGCTGGACAGACCCGAGGAGGTCAGCAGCGGGCAGCCGGCCAGGGACAGCACCTGGAGGTTCCGCATCGAGCACAGGTGCTGCAGCCCGAAGTCCCGCACCTGCGAGCACCAGCGCAGGAAGAGGGCGGTCAGCGACAGCATCGTGGAGATGTATCCCACGCCAATGTCCGTTATGTGCACACATCTGAAAGGGCACAGAGAAAGCTCGATTTAGTTCCAAGAACTCGAGAAGGAGACTTAAAAGTGTATTCAAAATATTACACTCATTATATTAGGTCTATTTGAGAGTACCAAGCTTAATTTCCGTTTTACATTTACCTGGTTTCTTTAAAAAGTATCACAAATTGGGGATCATATTTATTTATTCATATTTTAATGTATACTTATATAAATATATTTATACATATGTATGCATTACCATTTGATGTTTTTTTTATATTATACAAGTATGTGGAAATTCCACTGAAAAAATACCCTGATAATCTTCGCTTAAAGAGAATAATTAAGATTAACAGTTGAAACATTACATTTATTATTTCTTTAGTGAAATATTAGGGTCAGAGAGGTCAATTTCACGAATATGAGTCTCTTGATTGTATATAATAAAAACAAAATAATATAAAAAAGTTTATGTTTTTTCTAGTGGAATGACACGGCTCTTGGTATAAAATAAGAGCCGAGCTTACTCTGGGTGCACCATTTGTTTCGTGATTGCGCAAAATGAAGACCTCATTAGCTTTGATTCTTTTGTTTAAATTGGTAGTAGGTTGCAATTCCACTATTGTGCCTTTGACGCAACCCTGCGGTTTGACAGTAGAACCCTGTTTTGGGTTTTTTAATGAAGGATAACGAAATGCTGCCTGGATGGCAGCAATATATAATTCCACACATTTCCTGTGTGCCGGCACCCTGATTCATCGACGTTAGTATTTGATAAAGAACCAATATAGGTTGATAACATTATTTTTCAGGCTTTGTTTTGACTGCTGCCCACTGCATTATTAATCAAGAGAAACTGTAAGTAATATATATTTAATGTTCTGGAACAAGTACCGATGGCTGTCTAAAATTTCAACTACAGATTTGTGAAGTTGGGAGCATATAACAAAAGTGAGCCTACCGATGTCTACGAAGTCAACCAAGCAATTGTGCACCATTTATACACGGAAAACGATGGTCAGAATGATATAGGACTGCTTAAGCTCCCGATAGACATTATCTTTAATCGTTAGTAAACCGTTCGATCGCCTTAACCGAAGTTATTTACATCATTTATCCGCAGAAAACGTTCGGCCAATTTGCATTTTCATGGACGAGAGACTTAAGACAAATGTTACCAGTGTACGGACGTTTAAAAGTTTTCGCTGGGAAAGAGAACTTCTTCGAAAGATAACCGTTCACCAGTTAGATCGAGCTGAGTGCGAAAAGGACTTGAATGTGAAGTGCAGTTCTAAGCAAATATGTACTGGTGATCCCAACGGGGATTCGGCCTGTGGCGATTATGGTGGTCCTTTAACCGCAACTCTCTCTTTTAATAATAGATTTCTTGAAGCGCAGTTAGGGATCGTTAGCAGGTGCGGCTATCTAGCAATATATACCGATGTGTCAAGCTATGTGGACTGGATTGGCGAACAAGTGAATAAGGCAGAATAGTCATAGAAGAACCAATGCTCCCACCTGGGAAAACGAAGTCCTAAGCCCATCCAAATATTCTAATAAAACGACTTTATTTTGATATGTTTAAAAACAATGAAGCATTGTAAATTTTTCAATAAACTTTGGCAGAAAAAAAACGATGTTATAATATGTTTTATTTATCTTTTTGATTGCTTATTTGATAGCTATATGACAAGTAGACTTGAATAATACCTACAATAGCACGACCTTATTCAAAGAAGTTTCATTCAGATAGCTTTAAAACTGGGAGACTAGTTTGCTAGAAACGTACGGAGAAACGGACAACAGACAAACGGACACGGCTAGATCGACTATAATCAGATGCATACGAGCTTTCGTACCACAAGGTAGTGTTTTGGGTCCCGTGCTGTACACCCTTTACACCTCTGACTTGCCAAATCCCAGAGATCCGGGTACCCTCCTGGCAACGTATGCTGACCTGTACAGCGAGTTGACGAACATGTGGAATATAAGCATAAACGGAAATAAATCGCAACATTGCAACTTCTCCCAAAGCATCAAATCCTTCCTAATGTTAAATTCCAAGACACACTCATCCCTCAATCCACTCAGGCGCAGTATCTTGGATTGATCCTCGACAGCGGCTCACATGGAGGCAACACACCGTGAAAATAGCAGCAACATGCCGTGGTAAGCTTAGGCAACTGACATGGATGCTTAGAGCAGCGAGTCATCTGAGCCTCAGAAATAAAATTGTGATCTACAAGTCAATAGTAGTCCCTTCCATAACATATTGGGGTACGGCGTCCGACTCGAACATCATGCGAATTCTTAACAAAATACCTTCACATCCCCACCGTGAGGGAACAGATCAATTGCCAATGCACGGATTCAAGCCCACTCGAAGTCACTTTAAAAAACTTTAGATTTCTTTAAGTTTAAAATACAAAATAAAGTTATGAATTTTGTTTAAAGTGCAACTTGCTGCAGTTTTTAGCCGTGACTTATGGCCGTTGCCGGAGATGAGGTTCAACTACTGGGTGACGGAAATTGAATTTCACTCATAAATAATTACGGACTGGGCGGGAGAAGGGCGAAGTGGACTCACCTATCCAGCGTCAGCTCCTCCAGCTGGTTCAGATCACAGGCGATGTACTCGAGCGAGGCGTCCGTGATGCGGGGACACCAGGACAGGTCCAGGGCGCGCAGCTTCTGCAGGTTCTCGGCAATCAGCTCCACGCCGTCGTCCGTCAGTTTGCTGCAGCCGGAGAGGCTCAGCACCGTGAGATGGGGCAGGGAGTGCACTGCAAGTGGAGCAAAAGGGGGCAGGGATTGGCATTAGTTTCGGGCATCAGCTAGTGCTTCGCGGAGCATTCGGCTCACGTAGCCGGCTGCAGATGCTCCACTTCGCTGGGGACACGTCCCAGGAAATGAGGTCTCTGCAGTCGGGATGATATGTTCGCGCAGCTAATGTTTCCCCACTGGCGCCTTAATTTGGCCGCCTTTAAGCCTCTTCTAAGTTTTCCTTCAAATTTCCATTCTCTGTCAACTTATAAATCCGAGTAGGCTTTTAAATATTAAAAGCATCATAGTAAATAAAAACTAATAGTAGCTCGCAGTATGTAAAAATTACGCCAAATTGTGACCTTAATTAATAAAAGTTTTTTTTTTTAAATGCTGATCTTGAATGAAAATTATTACCGGCTGATGATAAATGTGTTAAAATTTAAAAAATATTTTTAAGATAAATAAATACTGCAAATATATAAAAAGTGTAGAACTTGATTCAAAGGTGAAACCTATGGGAATCTCCCAGATGCGAAATTGTAAAGACTCAATTAGACATCAATGGATCTAGTTAACATAATTAAGTGAATTTCTTCAGCCAGTGAGTGAGTGTGAGTGTGAAAAACACATAATGCATACCGAGTGCTAATTAAGATTTGTGGTTATTCATAAAATGTGGCAGCCAGAGCCTATTTACATTTAGCCGACTTGCTCAGGATTTGTTGCTAAGCTCTTTTCATTCTTGAGATAGACTAATGTGTGATGTATCTAATTACGGCTTCTATTTAATGCCCACAGCCTCCCTCTGCTGCTGTTCTACTTAAACTGATTCAGTTTCTCAGCTCAGGCTCAGCTCGTTCCATTTATGTCTACTAAAGTTTGCTCTGTTCCACATTTTGCTGTGTCACTTTCTGGCATTCTTTGCTCTGAATCACGGATTATTTGTCCTTTCTGCTCTGTGGCCAAAGGCACAATGCCCTGTTTTCTTAGCTTATCTTTCAGTCTCGAGCATGTGGGATTATTAGAAGACAATTTAAAACAGTAACAAAGCAGCATTTATAAAATTTAAACAAAATTCTTCTGCAAGTTTTAAATATTTCGATTTTGAAAATCATTAAAGGATTTAAAATCAAAATAAAAATGCTGTACCTTAATAATCAGACTTCTTTTAAACTTTTATTAAAATTTTTTTAAAATACTTGCTGAAAATGTTTATATATTTTAAATGTATAATTCAACAGTTTGGGTTTTTAAGTTAAAAGGCGTTTTAAAGCAACTGCAATATTTATGAATTATTTAATAGTAAGACATTGCATAATGGATTACAAATGAATACACCAATTCGCAAATAATACATTAACTCCTCTTCAAACGATTATTTTCTTTGTCAGGATTGATTTGTCTGGTAATCTTTCGATTAGGGGAAAAGTGTGTATATTTGTGTTCGCCATTGATATTCGATTGTTGGACAGACTGCAAACAAATCAATCAAATAAACTTGTTTGGGTTGATGACGTAAATCTAAACATTTTCGCGGAAAGTCAAAGAGTTTTCTGCGCCTGCTGAATCTGAATAACCGATAAAGGATAAAGTATAAAATATAACTAATAATGCGTACAGGAAGCACATGACTGCAATTACCTTTCGTAAGCCGCTTAGACTTTGCTAATGGGAATTAAGCATTTTCCCTTGGCCAGAAATAGTATGTGGCCCGAGAAGAGGGCACGTGCGGCGGCTGCGTAAACAGAGATAAAGCCTCCAAAGAAAACAAACTCCAAGCCAAAGTAATGTGTGCATGTTTGTGGAAAACTCCCTTCCATATTCCCACCCCCCAAAAAGACTTCCCCTTTCCCTGAGTTAAAGAAGTCGAAAAATGCTGGGTCCGGTCGACTAAGCCGCTTTGTATTCACTTAGAGTCACTCCATATTCACCTCAGACTCACTCAGATAAAAAATTAATTTATAAACTTTGTAAGCTAAATTTTACCACTTTATATATTTATTTATATTTCTTTACCAGAATTTCAGTAATGAAGAATATAAACAAATTACAACTTTTTTAATATTTTTAAATTCAAACTAAGTGCAATCCAGTCATAATTTTTAACGACTTCTATTTATTTTTATATATTAACAAAATGCAATTTTCCTATTATTTAAATGTTTATATTACTATTCTTTTTCAGTTAAGTTTAATTTTTCGTCATCTTATGGAGACCCTTTATTATTTCAATGAGAATGGATTTTCCAAAGTTTTTTATCTAGTACATAATTTGTTTTCGTTTTTTCCAGTGCATTCACCTATGTGTGCAAGTGTGGGTGGTTGTGTGCCCCACTTTGGTTACCGCCACATACTCAGAAACTTAGATACTTGCTAGGAGCAGTAGAGCGCTCCTCTTGTTTGGCTTCTGACCAAAAAAACCACAAGGCATACGAAAAGCGATTTGAATTACAAAATATGCGCCAACAACGAGCCAACCAACGAATCCACATGAAGATAACCGCGATACTAGCTTCTGAGCTACTGAGCCAAATGGAAAACTAAGGCAAACAGCGATCTGAATGGGGGCCTATGAAAAATTAACACAACCAACTCGCTGTGCTCGGCCTTTCTATTGACTAACTGAGCTGAAGCGAAGCCTTTATGCACTGTATACAAAGCGAATCCTCTTTTTATTTTCCACTGGAGTTTTGTGGAGTTTAAAAAAGGATTGCGAACATAAGAGCGAAAACGAGTTGATGAAAGCAAATTAATAGGCTGTGAATAAAGTTTGTTTCAAAGTCTGAATTCATTGGTTAAACAAAGATTTTTAAGTAATTAAATACGCTTAGTTTTAAATCAAAAGCAGGTTCACAAGCCAAATAAAATTAAATTAAATTAAATTAAATCTAAATTACTCTGTTTATTATTAAAACAAATCAATTTCAAGCAAATAGGTTTTAGTTTAAAATATTTTTTATCGAGCAACAAATAAAATATATAGTTCAGCAGTTTGTGTTAGTATTTTGCCTTTTTATGACATTAAATAAAAATAGGTTTTAAAGTTCATCCCAAAAAAATTGTTAAAAGTTAGATGTATATGAATAAAGCTTTAGATATTTTAACTGCGCTGTAACAAAGTCTCTAAAGAAAAGCTCCATTTAAGAGAAATGCTACTTGAATAACCCAAATCAATTGGAATGGGCAGATAGGGTATCTGATTTAGAATAAGTGCTATTCGCCTCACTCCGCCCACTTGAACATTTAAGAAATTGCAACATTCGTGAAGTTCCCTTTTCATCGGGATCGCTATTGGCGAAGGAATTGCAAATCCATTGCTAATGCATATTCAGGCGTAATTGAGGGGCGATGGAACGATGGGGCGTGCGTCGAGAAGCCGCAGCAGTGACAATAACCGTAACGCTGACGACCAACTTGGCTGACGCTGACGGGCTCTTGGCCAAGTTGCCAGGCAGCGCCAGCTCCTCAAGGAGCTAACTGTAATTGTATCTATCAAGCGGTGGATGTGGATGCAGTACAATCCACAATGGCAACGGCGACGCCCCAAATGCTGAAAACCGCAAAAACATCCAACGACAAAGGCGCCTCTGTGCACACAAACATCTAGTGCAGACAGTCAAACTTCGATAACTTGAGCCACTAGAAAATAGATTACTTTGGAAGACTAATTTTAAATTCAAATCCTTGCAATATGAATTTTTAATCAGCTTTTAAGTAACTGTTCCGCAGAATTTAACTTAAGTTAGCTAAACTTTATTTAAACTTTATTTAAATGTTGCGTTAAAAATAATCATTGTTCAAGAAATGTATCGTTATGATATCATCAAATTTTATAATATGTCAGAAAAGGTTTTTTTTTTTAGTTTTTTTG